CCCATATGTATGAGCAACTTGATGATGCATCCTATGTCAATATAAGACAATTTAGTTGAATATGCTACTTTATTTCAGGTATAGTCTCACTCTTCAATTATTCTAATGTTAGCTTAATATGGAGTGGACTTTTATTGAATTTTTCATTAGTCAGACATGAATATATGAACATTTTTCTAGGATAGGTTCAAGAGACGTGGTAGAGGATTATGTAGAGGAATCCCCACATTGTATGAAGTATGTAGTTGGTAGATTATCTTCAGTTACAACCATTCGATTTTAACTTGACTATTTATCTTTAACTACGATAAAATTAGTATCATATGATGATCATAGGAAACCTGACCATTTGAGTGAGTTGCTATATTGACGGGTTACATTAGTTTAGGTTCTCCTTACCATCTACACATGCCAAAACGTGTTTAATAGTATAGATATGTAAAAAAGTTGTCATCAGTTTGTCCTAAGTGATGCTCCACCTATAATAGAAGTGTTGGGTGGTCGATCGTTGCATTTTGTTAACCATTTAGTTGTTGTTTTCATGGAAGTTAGTTACCCATAAACATGTGTTTGTGGATATATGGAGTAATTTCATCTTGTTTCTCATCTTTATATATAGTTGGACGATGAACCACCAAATGTCATACCTCCATCAATTATAGGTGATGTTGAGGAGGTGATGTGAACATGACCTATGATAAGGGTTAGAGCAAGGGAAACAAAGGAAGCTCTTCAACAAGTATTGTTGGTTGACCAAATTGTGTTTTGGATTAATCAATTAATGGGCTTTAGTTTGATTTTGTTTTAAGTTGTAATAAGGGCCCAATTGAAAATTTAGTCATCAGCATTTGGGAGACCAAGGGATGCATAGCTGATTGACTTTTGGTTGCCACAGTTTCATATACAATCAGTCATTAAGTAGTTTTCAATTCCTAGGTTAATGGATCATTATTAGCCTTTATTTGTTTCCATTAAATAGTTTTTAATTCCTAGATTAATGGGTTATTATTAGTATTTATTTTCTTTTATTGAGCCTTTTGTAATTCTGATGGCAACGCTTCTATATTAGCTGAACCATTCTTATCAAGAAATAATAAGTGAAATTTTATTCAAAAATATTAGAGTTTATCTCTTTTATCTTAGTGAGAGTGATTCTCCTAAATTCTTGAGTGATTCAAGAACCCTTGGCTGTATCAAAGGACTGTCACATCCTTTGTGTGTTGCCTCCCTTGGGAAGAGTGATTCTTTCCTTCCACCTTCTTTCTAATTCCTAAATTTCTTACAAGGTTCTAACCCTAAAGATCCTAAATTACCCCTTGTGATTCATATCGGTGGCTGATGACTAAATTTTCAATTGGACCCTTATTACAACTTAAAACAAAATCAAACTAAAGCCCATTAATTGATTAATCCAAAACACAATTTGGTCAACCAACAATACTTGTTGAAGAGCTTCCTTTGTTTCCCTTGCTCTAACCCTTATCATAGGTCATGTTCACATCAGGAGGACATAGAGAACATCCTACTACGCTAATGAATATGAATTTAATTATGTTATTTATCATATATATATATATATATATATATATATAATTATCTTATTAGTTATTATATTACATCGAAGGATCATCTCCATGTCACCGAAGATACCAACTTGCGATGGGATATAAGTAACACTAATGTTAGTACATAGATGAGAGAGTCATCTATATAAGGAGACAATGTGATTGAGGTAGACACTTGACGACCAAGTTTGATTGATATATATTATTTGTGTTTTTTTTATATATGTTATTTTGATAATTGTATTGTACTACTTTTATTTGTTGAACCATATTAATTTTGTATTTGCATTATGTTAATTGTTGTAGTATTCATAACTCATGCTTCACATGATTATAAACCTTAGAAATTTAAGAACCTTACATATAATATTATTTGATGTCACACTCACAAGTTACATAATATATATATATATATATATATATATATATATATATATATATTCTAATAGTTTACAAGGTTAATATAATGTTATGTAATGCCCATTAATTGCGAGAATATGTGTATCCAACCAATGTAAAATAAAGATCAAGATTTTGCATCTTGAGTAATAATGAGTAAACCATAATATATTTGTTGGTGGTATAAAACAACCATCTTTCAAGAATATATGCAATAAAATAACAACTTAATAAAAATTAATAATATTTTATATTTTATATATTTGTCTAATTGTCAACATTTAAAATAATTTATACCTGACCAAAATGATTCCCATGAACATAACAAATACAAATAATACTATGGTTCCTCATATTGGTTGGAGGTTCACTTCTTAATGGAAAAATAATAATGTATTATTTAAGTTTAAACATATGACAAGTAACAATACAATGACATGCAATAATGTATTCCTTATATCCCATATAAGGAATAGTCATCCACTTATCCACACTTGTCTAAATATAATTAAAGTATAATCATATATTTTATTGAAGAAGAGGACAATTATAATTTGTTTAATTGGTTGTTGTCTTACCTAGGTTATCTAATCAACAATAATTTATTTTTGTGGTACTTAAAATGTTCATCACCTCTAAATAAATATGTATATTTATGATGCCACTCAGCAAGTTCATTTGAACAAGAGGCCATGAATCTTCTCCCATACCTAATAATGCAATAACAATACAACACAATAGTCACAATGTCCATCGTCCTTCACATCAACTATATCAAATTTATATGGATGAAACACAAGCACTACAAGAAAATAATTTATTACCGACGGATATTTACCGACGGATATGTAGACGTCGGAAAATTAATGATTACCGACGGATATTTAGACGTCGGAAAATTAATGATTATCGACGGACATTACCTCCGTCGGTAAATGAAGAATAAATTACCGACGGATATATCCGTCGGTAAATTAACAATTAATTATATCACCCTTAAGCCCGCACGACCAGCACCACTCCCATCCCTTTCTACATCTCATTCGCTTCTCCTCTCCCACTCATCCTCAAGCCTAGATCTGCGCAGCACAACCACTTCCAGTCATCACCGGCAGCCAACACGTCTCCACTAATGCCTATTGTGAGCCCTAACCAACCCCCGCGAACCATCACTACCAATTGCGCCCCAATTTGATTTGTGACCCTCTCATTGCAACCGCTCATTACCTCACCGGTCCTCCGCCATCACGCCAACCACCGCGCACCTTCGAACCACCATCCAACAACACTCTCATTCCTTTCTTGATCTCATTCACTTCTCCTCTCTCATTCATCCTCAACCCTACATCCGTGCGCCACAGCCACCTCCAACCATCACCTGCAGCCAACACGTCCCCAATAGTGGCTATTGTGAGCCCCAACCAACCACCGCAAACCACCATTACCAGTTGCGCCCTAATTGGATTTGCGACCCCTTCATTGGAAATGGTCATTACCTCACCGGTCCTTCACCACCACGCCAACCACCGCTCACCTTCGAACCACCATCCAACACCACTCCCATTCCTTTCTCGATCCCATTGATTTCTGTTGTTCCACTCATCCTTAACCCTAGATCCGCGCACAATAACCACCTCCAGCCATCACCAGCAGGCAACACATCCCCAGTAGTGGCTATTGCACCCCAATTTGTGAGCCCCAACCAACCACCGCGAACCACCACTGCCTGTTGCACCCCAATTCGTTGCAGGTTTTGTACCTTCCTTTGCTTGGTTATGGTTTTTAATTTTGTATTGTTTTGATTTTCTCCAACTCATAAATTTCCTTATTTATGCTGAAAATTTGATCAATGCGCTTAGATAAATGAATTGGAATGATTCTGTAGTTTGTGTGTTTTTCGTGATTTGAGATGCTTGGTGTTCAATGTCAATACTGAAACTGTTGATCAAGTAGCTTAGCCAATGAATGGAATGATCTCCAAGTTTTTTGTTCCTAGACTCTAATCAATTTTGGAAACAAAAACCACCACGCACGCCAAAGAAAGATTCCATGATTAACAAAAGGTCCACACGGAGATCACTTGAAAGGAAGAATGACTTCATAGCCACTGAAATGTTCCATATGCCATGCAAGCTACGAAATCATAAAATTTTTTCCACTAGACAAATTTTTCCCCCTATTTCCTTTTCTACGTGAATCATAACCAATTTTAGTCAATTTTAACTGCACTCATGAGCAGTTCCTACTCTTTTTTTTAATCCCTGAAAAAATGAAAAAAAAAAATTAAAAGCGAAGAGCTTGGTCTTCAACTTTTGCACGCCTCCTTCCCCTGGGAGGTGTGAGCCATTATGGGACCACGTCTTTTTCTTAAGATGATTAAAGAAATTACAAGTTGAGGTGTATGTATTATAGAATAGTAATTCAATTAGGTTGGTGCGTTTGGTGAATACTTAAGCCTAGTCTAATATTTCAAAATGAGCAACTGTAGCAATCATTTAGTTTAATCATTAGTATGGTTCTTCAAGAAAACATATACATGCGAAAAAGGTAAAGAAGGGAAAATGGTGGGGGAGGAAATAACTCTGTTGCCAAGTTGAGCATGAAGATCAATGACCATTTTCTCTTCGTAGTACGAAAGAAGGCCTCTCTTTAAGTACTGGTCTAAGGTAATTTGTCCACCTGAGCCTGCAACTCTTCCCACACCTTAATAGTCCTGCATGGAGTCACATCCCAATTGTTAATCTTAGTTTCAACAAATTGATTGTTTACTGCCTAGCATTTGTGTTCAAAGTTACAAAATTAACATGAAGGTTGTTTTCTTCAGAAGCCAAGGGAAGAATTTATGACCCTCCTTTTCCCAAATAAAACGAGAATAAGAAAGACATTCAAGTTCAAACATTTGTTGTCTTCTTGCGAGTTAAAATGCTTAAACATGTTTTGACGAGTAGTTACGAAAGGTGAAATGATATCCCAATTCGAGTGGTGCTTGATGGAAATCAAATATGAACAGGGGAATGATCACACAAAGTTTATTGAATGAAATCCTTAAATTCGGAAAAGTTGATGTATTTACGTGATATTCTTGGTTTGCTTGAGTTGATTTATTTCTTCATGTTTGATTTAGCTGAATTCGGAAAAGTTATTGTTGTTGGACTCGACATTCACGGTAAGGATGGGAAGCTAATTCCAGTGGCTGTGAACGAAGGCGATACTGTTCTTTTGCCAGAGTATGGGGGAACTGAGGTGAAGCTTGACAACAAAGAGTATGTATATGTTTTTTATGTCCTGTTATTAGCTTATTTTTTAGGCTCATATAATTCTTCCACTTTATCCTAAAGTTTAATACGGTAGATATAAATGTTGATGGTTACACTTGAGCTTTGTTAATTTTGTGTATATAACACCTGGAAGATTTATCCGTCGGTAATTACCTACAGCAGTTTCCGACGGATATATCCGTCGGTAATTACCTACAGAACTTTCCGACGGATATATCCGTCGGTAATTACCGACGAGTTATTTAAATCCGTCGGTAATATTTACCGACAACACAATTTCTGACGGAATTTTGTCCGTCGCTAATCCGTCGGTAATATCTATTTACCGACGGATTTTTGTTGTTATTGACGGATTTTGTCCGTCGGTAATTCCAGTATTTCTTGTAGTGAAGAAATTGGCCAAAATCGATATTGAATTGGTGGGCAACTCATGTTTCACATGTCCCTTACTTGACTTCCAAGTAAATGAACTATCATGTTGAGATTGTAATGCATCAACAACATACTACCAATAAGAAGGGACACGCTTAACAAATTTATTACCATGACCTTTTGTTTTCACCTTCTTCACAAGGATACACAATAATGTCAAATTTGTGTATACAATTTCATGGAGTTTACTCTTTTTCCAACAATGTTATCTTCTTGAACCTCTTTAAGATAACATAAATTCCTATTGAATAGACAATTTAGTCAACATCACATGAAACTAATTCACAAGCACAAGAAAGACCATGGGTAGATCTAAGTGTGTACCCACAACGTCTGCTATCGATCCCAATATACATGAATCGATCATACTCTTTAACAATGTGACTTAATTCATACTTTAAGATGAAAACCTTAAAATTTTATCTAGTGACATTAAACCTATGACCTACTACACAAAGACCCTTCTAAAATGAAGCTTTAATCTAATTATGTTGTTATGTTATCATATTATTCATTAAATCTCATAAATAACACAAGTTTCCTACTTTGAAACATTCTTTTGAGGGTCCAATGCACACTTTCAACCCTACATTTGAAATCATAATTAGTACCATGTATTAAATATACTTTGAATAAAATGTATGTTGTAAATCATGATACCTATTACTTGTAGTGTGCACCACCTTATCAGTCCATACATTAACTAACTTTTCCTTATGTGGAATTAACAATATATCCTTCACATATTCAATAAACTTAGACCACGATGAACAAATAACTTCAAGGGTTGTAAAACGATATTGAAATGTTTCCACTTCATTACAATCCATAACAATTTCCCAAGCATCCATCACTTGCTCTCATGCCTTAATCCATTAACATTTTGCATTTTACTTTAACATTTTTTTATGTGAAAGCGAGATTAAAGGTTCGATGTATGAGGAAACACAATTGTAATTATATTTATTAATGCAAAATCCATGTCATTAACCAATGTTGGGGGAACAAATCAACTCTTAAAAACAATCATTTAAGTCTTTCAAAAGTCTAAACAAAGTTCTTTTTCACATTCAGCATCCACTAGGACAAGTGGAGCAGAAATGTCATTCCTATGAATGTTATAACAACAATCTCAAGTAAAAGCAATTTATATCTGTTAGTGTTTTAAGTGTTATCCATCATCAATACTAAGTTAAATGCATTCAATAATTTGGCAGAATCAGGGTATATCCAACAAATATTTGTTACAATATTTGTATTATCATCAAATACAAACCTGTGAATACACTTGTCTTGCTTCAATAATTTCATTTATTATTGTATTTTATATAACCTCTTAGATTTCCACGACATGTGTATCTTGCATTATATACTTGTTTTATACTTGTCACATTTTTTTCATTGATCTCCTTTAAGGTAAAAAAAAATATATCTTTAGGCTTCACGAAACTCTTTGTTATATCAATATGCACGGACTTCTCATTACTTGATAATCTACTAGAATATGGATGACCTACTAATGTATTAACTAAGTTATGATTATGACTTGCACAAACTAACTTTACAATCCCTCCTTTACCATTCTTTACAGGTTTTTTTCGTAATTTAAAAGGACATTCACATTTTCTACTTCTTGTAACAGTTGGATGCAAAATTTTTTTCCCTATATTTACCACCGTTTTCACAATCTAACAATACATATGTCTTTCTTTCTTGATGGTCATTTGTTGTATCCAACCTTAGCATAACAACCACAAACCTAAACCAAAACGTAACCTCTCAAGAAACCAACTATCTAAGTAAGGTTCATCATCCTAAATTGTAACCATAAGAAGTACAAGTCCATTGTCAAATTCATCTTGAGCCATATGAGCTTCATTCTTTGAATCTTTTTTCTACTTCCCTTTGCCATTTTAACACTTGATTGCATAATGTCCCCATTTCTCATAATTATAGTATTGATTCTTTCTTTTATCTTGCTACTTATGCTATATCCTCATCTACTAATCTGTTTGAGGATTTTGGTTTATCATTATTATTGGATTGATCTTTATTTGAAGACTATCCTTCTTTGTTGAGTCTACCATTATTCTTACTCTCCTCCTCTCTCCAGGAGTTGTACCCCACTTCTTTGAAACTTAAACTTGTAGTACTTATTCTTTAACAACTTTCTTAGCACTTCTTTATAGAAATCTCAACTCATGAGCCTTTAAAGAACCTTCGAGCTCCTCAACCTTCATTTTTCTTATAGACGACTCCTCAATTACAACCACAATGTAATTCTCCACCAAATTCTAATTTGTAATTGATTCTCTACAAGCCCTTATTGAATTCACCAACAATTGAAACTAATTAAAGTAATATGCAATGGACTCTTGATCAAGCATAGACAACAACTCATATGGTTTTCTAAAAGACTACAACTTAAATTTCTTGGTCTTCTCAAAACCATATGCCTTGTGCAAAATATCCCTAGCCTCTTTGGCTGAATTGGCCTTGGAGATCTTCTCAAAATTAATAGGAGTCACACACTGATGAAGAAAGCAATAAGCCTTATAATCTTTCCTCTTGAATGCAGTGTCATCTTTCTCACGAATGTCATCCTTAATAGTTTATAGTATTTCCTAACCAAGAATGACTTCCATTCTTACAATCCAATGGTCATAATCTTTGTCATCAAGAATTGGAAAAGTAGATAGAAAAATTATATCTTCTGCTCTAGATACCACTTGATGGAGGAAAGAAATAACAAATAGAGAAGAGAAAATAAATGCATACTTCTACTATTTCTCATAAAATGTTCCCTTATTATTTACAATGTAACTCTATTTATAAAGTAATTGAGACACTAGTGAAAAATGTGTTCTTACGTAAGTCTTCTCTCGTCGAATGAGTTATTACCTGACCGTAACAAAAAATGTGATGATGCTTTTTAAATTAAAAGAAATTTTTTATATGAGGTTAGATGTAAAATTTTTTTATATCTCTTTTAAGGTTTCACCTTTCTTGCGCACATAAGGAATTTCTTTTGAGTGAAGATGGTGGTGACAACATTGTGACCGTCTTGAACATTTTTCGACCATGGTCATCAACAACAACACTATCATTATGACTCATTGTTGTTTCGAATGTTTTTTCTTGATTGAGTTTGAGCATTAATTAGACGCCTATTGTGTGACTGAGGTTAGTACTTTATGTTTCTATTTTTTTTATTGGAATTGAAACAATTATTTTTTTTGTTTATGTCATCTACCGTTAATGTTGTTATTGTTGTCCTTTTTTGTTATTATCGTTGTTAGTGTTGCAATCTTCCATTGTTGTTGATGTCTATTATTCACTTCTTGTTTCTACTGTTGTTGTCTTTGTCATAATTGTTGTTATGATTGTTGTGATTGTCATAGTTGTTGTTGTTGCTATGACTGTTGTTGTTTGTGTTGTTACGGTTACTTCATTCTTATTTACATTTTGGTATTATTGATCTTCTTCTTTTATTGTTGTCAAGACTATATTGTTGTAACCTGTTTCATTTATGCCATTATTGTTACAATGCTTCATCCATTGTCAAGTTTAGTTTTCATCTTCCTCAACCATGGTTTTTTTTATTAATATTGAAATTTTGATGTCTTTTTTAAAACATCAAACATAAAATTACATCTTATTTGGTATTAGTCTAATGTAAATTTACATCAATTAGTTATTTTGTGTAAATTTACATCTTCTGACGTCACAGATTAATCAAACATAAAATACTCAAACTAACCTATAAAAAACTTCTCATATACCAGTGGTACTAACAAACTTTTAATTGAATTAATTACAAAAAATATTTTAATAAATTAAAATTTCATTTTAATTTAATAAATTAAAACTAATACCTAGCTTTGAGTGTTTTGAACCTATTTAGCCCATTAAAAAGTGTTTTAAGAATATTTTAATATATTAAACAATTATTTTAAGGATTAAAATTCTCTTATCCAAATAGATAATTTTAAGAAGTTTGTATCGTAAATTTAAGATTAAAACATTATAAAATAACTTAAAATCTAACCCAACACATATTCACTAAGAGAATTTATATCTTCCATCAACACGAGGGAGTGAATTGATCACATCTTAATCAAGTCTTCGTGAAAACATCTTGTAGTTTTACATGCTGTAAAGACTTCCAACATCCTCAACGTTATTCACAAACACATTTTTTCTTTAAAATGTTTTAAATAACTTTTGGATAACTTCAACACATTTTGATTGTAAAACATTCTGTCAAATAGAATGAGATATATATTGCAGAAATTAATCTCATACCATAAGTAGAACTATAAAATGAATCTTAACGTTGTGGCTAACTTTTTCCTTCACAGCCCCACTATCAAGTACCAAGTTCCAGCAAAATGTTTGTGAATCTCTTAACCATACAATAACTCTTCAACACATTTCTTCATAAAATGTACGTGAATCTCATTAATTTATGAATGGAATCCACCAAATGAAAAATAACACATTCAGTGAGATGTATGAATTACCCAACAGAAAAGTACATATAAAAAAGAGTGCATCTAAAAAGTACGTTGCTAAATTTGGTAGAAAAATGTTTCACACGGACACCTTATTTTTTTCTTACATCTATCAGACACAGTGATTGGGAAAATTTTCCTTCGTACACCAATCAATCTTTTCATGTTGTTAAGTACGTTAACTTTTATCTATGCTTTCAATAAATTAGGGTAGTAAATGGTAAAAATAGCATCAAATCATTTTCATATGCAGTGATTAATAAACGTGGCATGATTCTTAAATTGGATTTGAAATCCTCTATATAAGTGGCCACGTATAGTTTTCCATTGAAGTTTGTAGTTAGACAGTTTGTGCATTAATTCCCTGGTTAATAAATGATAAAATTATTGTTATTCATGTTGCAACAAACTAATTTTTTCTAAACTTATTGTCTATCCCTTTCAATAACATAAAGGGGCACCTACCTCCTGTCTTCTTCTTTTTCATCCACGTCCTCTGATTACTGTCAATGTTGGTTAGTAGGTAGATGCAGATCAACATTTCAAATTTATATTCATTGTCTTTTCCTTTCTATAACTAACTTAAATCCTCCTTTGTTTATTGGTACTCAACAAGGTTTAAAAGAGATAAACTAAAAAGCAGAAACTTCAATGCATCTTATTATCTATCTTTATATATACACAAGCAAATGTTGCAATATTGATACAGAAAAGTTTCGGAAGAGTCTCTTGAAACAACTTAGTTAGTTAGTAGATGGAGATATGTAAGTAAAGAAAATGATTCAGTTTTTACCTGCTAAAATCTAATGTAGAGAGAGATGTGTAATCAAAATGCTTCAGTTTTATTTGACTTCTTACGTTCTAATTAAAGAAACAAATTCTCAAACCAGAACATAATTGGAAGGTATACCTGGCCAATTAAAAGGTGAATGGAAGGGTGATATGTGGCACTGGGTATGAAGCTTCACTGTCACCCTGCTGGGAGCACTGAGTAGTGATTAGTGAAGGTCAGAAACAGATTCTCTCATGTTTGAAAAAAGAAACATTTGGATCTTTCCAAATGTTAAAACCTCACCTTTTTGTTCTTTTAAATTTTAATTCTAAGATAAAAAAAAAATGTTCTGCTATGATTATTTTGAATGGTCAAGATCTCATGCAGCATGAGTCACTGTAGAGGCCATGCATGTCGCTTGTGCTTGGGATTGTCACATTTAATGAGAAACTTAATAGCTTTGGAATGGATTCTCTCTCTTTAATAATATGTATTCCCAAACTACTTACTTAGCTAGCTGTACCATCCCATCAACCATGTCATTCATGATCACCATATTACTTTATACTAATTGAAGCAACGTCTCACATTTCCATTCCTCCAAATATTTTGCACTTCAAATTCTCTCTTCTCTGCCAGCACATAGTATTAGCTAGCTAGGGTTGTGTTTTGTTGTGGTGTGGTGTGGTGGTGCTGGAGTTTCACAAAAATGTTGTCATCAGGATTGGACCTGGAGTACTGGTTAGTGAACCACCCTACCATAAGAAACTTCTCATGGACACCAGGTAAAACCCTTGGCTCCTCACCACACTTCCTCTTCTTCACCATTCTCTCTTACCTTTTCTCCACCTTCATTCTGCCCCAGAGGATCATATCCCCATCCATATCCCCACAATTCCTCAAAACCATCTCAGCTCTCCACAACATCTCCCTCCTCCTCCTCTCCTTCATCATGGCCCTAGGCTGCCTCCTCTCCACCCTCTACCAAGCACCTCACCTCCACTGGATCATCTGCTTCCCTCCCCACACCAAGCCCACCGGGCCTCTCTTCTTCTGGGCCTACATCTTCTACCTCTCCAAGATCCTCGAGTTCGTCGACACCCTCCTCATCATCCTCAGCAACTCCATCCAACGCCTCACCTTCCTCCACGTGTACCACCACTCCACCGTCGTCATCATGTGCTACATCTGGCTACAAACTTCCCAGACCCTCTTCCCCGCCGTCCTCTTCACCAACGCCTCCGTGCATGTCCTAATGTACGCATACTACTTATCCTGCGCACTCGGGGTGCGTCCCAGATGGAAGAAGATCGTCACCAACGTTCAGATCTTGCAGTTCTACTCCAGCTTCGTCGTTTTGGGTGTCATGCTCTACTACCACTTCACCGGCTCTGGCTGCTCCGGCGTTTGGGGTTGGACCTTCAACGTCGTTTTCTATGCCTCTCTTCTCGTTTTGTTCGTAGACTTTCACAAGAAGAGTTATGGTGCATCCTCCAGCAAGAATAAACTCGGTGTTAAGCCTTCCAAGCCCTTGTTTTGTTCCAATCACACTCAAAATTGATTGGTTAACTACCATGGGAATACTTTTGCAAATTTTTTATAAAATTTGCAAGAACTAAGTTTCCTATAAATTTAAATTATTTTTTATAAGAAAATTTGCCAGGAAATAAGTAGCTTCTTAGTATTACCTTGTTGATGGTACGATATTATTATTCTTCTTCCAATTAATTCTTTCTGTGATCTTGAAATCCCAAACATGTCACATACGTCGAGGTTTTTCTGGCTTCTGACTTTTGGGAACTTTTACTTTCAAGCTAGAATGGCAACAAGCCATATATTGAAATTCGAGTATGGGCGTGGTAATAGAGCACCAACTGTTAAGAATGTGGTTGAGTTTGTATTCTTTTCTTTTTCTTTTAATTCGTTTTAGTAATGTGGTTAAGTTTGTGGAATACTTTAAAAATCGTTGGTGTACTCATCTTGCAGTATGCAATGATACTTCTTCTCATGCTCCAAGGATGATTAATGACGTTCATGATTTGATAAATAAACTTGGTATGCACGCATGGCCTGAACTAATTAAGTGGACTATGAACTAATCGCTTGGTTGATCAAGTACTAATGGCAGATGCATGTTTTTGAATTGTGGTCCTTGTACAGCTCTGCATAATTCACCATCAAAATGAAAGATAATAGCTGCATTTATCATCTACCCACTAGTTACTATCATAATAAATGCTACTTGTATTAGGTGCTATCTTCTACGTACTAATACTACTATTGTTTATGGGAATTGTTTTCCTTTTCCTATCTTCTGGCATCACCAGTTCCATTGGAATGATGAACTATTTTACAGTTAGAGAAAAATATGATGCTAACATATGGAGAGAACTTGATGAAGATTACTTGTCTTTTTTTTTTTTTTGTTTCTTTTATTCATTTTACTTCTGCTGCTGATTTAAATTGATGTCCGTACGTCAACCACTGTTTGCATGTCGATTTTCAGTTTTCTGTCAATGTACAGTCAATCTTATGATGAAATTCACCATAGCCAGAGCTCACGATGAAACCAACCAGTAAACAGTACAAATTTACAATCATATGATCATATGCATGAAAGCTAAATGTGGGAGGAAAATGATCATCAAGATTTTGACTCATCATTACCTTCCAAATAACATGTGTTGAATCCTTGTAAATAGATTGTCTCAATTAAAATCATTTCTCCATAATTTATTCCCATTTTTAACTTATAATCGTGCTCTCTTATATAAAAAAAAATTCATCTGATACACTAATATAATTAGCTATGTTGTTCTTCTTAGACAACCTTAAAATTTTCGATCTCATAAGATCGGTTCAAGATCATGGATCCTTTTCTATCACATAAAAAGACTGCTGTTTAATAAAATGTACTTCTAAGATTATTAAATATATTTATATGTATATTTATATATTTAATTTTTATTTTTTTATATTTATTAATAATATGTTATTTATCCTACATATTATTATTTATTATTTGTTAATAGTATTATAGTTTGTAAAATTATATAATTTAATGTAAGTGGTAAAATATCTTATTAAGTAAAAATTTTAAGTCAATTAACTTTTACTAAGTAATTTTAAATATATTTGATTTTTTTTCAAATCTATTCTGGCAAATTACATCTAAAAATAAAAAACCGTAGTACATTAAAAAAATATACTCGAATAAACTAAGTAAAAATATTAACGATTTAATGTCTAAAACATTTGACAAATTTGTATCTTGATGATGGTCAACTATTTATTTATTTATTTCTAAATATATGAAAATTAACATGAAAGAAATTTAAATTAAATTAAAAAAATTAATGCATTTTGCATAACGACTTTGTATACATATCATTCCTTATTTGATTTTCCTAGCCATAAACCAAAAGTTTAAAGTTGTTCCTTGTCTAATCTATATATATTTACAACATTAATTAATATAAAACAGTTTTTTTATGTGTCTAATTTTGCAGTAGGCACTTACCAAACTTTCAAAACATATATATAGTAATTCAAATAAGGTAGGTTATTAATATTTATCTTTATATTTTTTAAAGGAAATTGATATTCCTCTTTCGAAAACCTAAATGCCTAGTCACAAAATAAAATCATTTGGATATAACATTTGAAGTGAGATACCATTCTATAATAAAGATCTGTATAGAGGGAGAGAACAATTGAAAGGTGTCATATATGAAGCTAAGCAAGAATAAACAAAGAGGTATGAAAATTTTTGTAATTTTTGTATTCATGTAATTTTAATTGACTTAAGTGTTGTTACTAACTTTCTTCATGACATTACTTAGGGTTGAAATTATAGTGCACTATTAGTTGAATTATTTTTCAGTTTTCGAGTTATAAAAGATGGTTTACTACTAACACATGATTATTCTTATTATTTGTTGAAATGGTGAAAAAAGAATTCACTCATGGTAAAGACAGGTCCATGTTTTCATTGTGGAGCTAATTGTAAGTTCTTCCTAATTCTGTTTTGTTGTATAGGCAAGTAAGTTAGATTTTATTTTAAAACATTTCCTCAATCAAATCAAATGAATTGGTTCACTACATCTTCATTAAAAAAAACTTTGAAAATATATCAGAATATAAAACGATATTAATAAGTAAAAGTTAAATGTACACTTTAAACAGCAAAATGATTCTGGAAGCACATGAAAAATTGGAGAGAACAATAGAAGAAAAAAAAACGATTTTAAATTTAATAAAGGGTAGAATGATAATTTTTTGAATTTTCTCAACGTAAATTTTTTTTTTTAAATTATGACATAATTTAAAGAAAAATGTATGGAAGTTATTTTTTCCAATAAAGAAAATACTGAATAACATAGAAATGAGAGCGTCAATTTAAGAAAAAAAATTATATATTAACAAAAAGACAGTGATAAAACATATTAATGATATTATTTCCATAAATAATAAGATTTGATAATCACTAATAGATTGAAAAAAAATATAAAAATAAAAACTCAGATTTTTTTACTTATATTATTATTATTATTATTATTATTATTATTATTATTATTATTATTATTATTATTTTACATTATGAGCAGGTTCTCCACTTTGGCGGAAGGGACCAGTTATAAACCAGTATTGTGTAATGCTTGTGGATCGCATTACAATTTGAAAGGAAATTTTCACAATTATCTTCCTAAGAATCTCAGAGTTCGCTCACAAAACAAATCTAAAAAGGCTACACCTAAAGGTAATAAAAAACACCATTTTTCAATATATATACGTATTATTTCTAATGATTAGAAGCTTTACTTTGGTTTGGTAAGAAAAACTCAGATTTTTGGAACAACATCCCTAGAAGGAAACGGTCACTGATGGCGTCCAAGCGCATGACTCCAATGGAGATATTTCAGAGGCAGCTTTTGAGTTTGTATAGATGGCAAAGACAAACACCAAATGAGCCATCTCTAGAAGAAGATGATGTATTGGTGGACAACACCAAAAACTTCATACCCACCAATGAGATTGGACTTGGAGCTGTTCTTCTTAAAGCAGATCCTGGATCATCATTGTCATGCTCCTCCTCAACAGATGACTTAGCTCAACCTCAATCATCTACAAATGAGCCATGACCCAGATTTTCATTTCTGACGTGTGCATGCACATTCACTCATTCATGTTGGACCTGCACAACTATAATATTTGCTCCTTTCCATGAGTCTTGGTAGCTTGCTTGTATAACTCTACAAAGTAAACTGTTGTTTGGGTGCATGTATTAATGCTATCATGACTGTGAACCGTGAGAATAATTGAGACATTTGTTTGTATGTTGACCAACTCGATCGTATTGTTTTTTATTACATTGCCTTGTTACGACCAGAGTTTGTAAGGATTCAAGTCACACATAAATGGATGCGGATTTTTTAGCTGAATGTGTAATGCTCGGGATAAACAGTTTTGATTAGATGAAAGTTACTATTTCGAAAATGATTAATGATTATATACGAATAAGTGTCAAATTACAAGTAAAAAGCTATATGTATAAAAGAAAAGAAATGTTCACCGTGTGATGGAGATTTGAGGAATAATTGTCCATCCCAGCTAGCTTCAAAGCAAGGTGACGAAGTTATTGCTTGCCGCAGTGTCAGTGATGTCTTTAACACTGACTAGTATTGCTGCAGAAGCACTTATGGAAACGCTGCCACACGTTTGTCTTCAAACTACTCATCTTCAAACTATTCAATCGTGTTTAAGCAAGTGTCCAGCTCATAGTTTTGCATGATGACCCGAGCATGATAACATGCTCGGGAGCAGACTACATAATTACTAGTTATGGGGTTGATCATAGATTTGTACAATAATGTTCAAATCCAAATAATTCTATATCCTCATCTACTTAACTACCATAATTATTGTTAATATTCTTTCTAAATGCAGGAACCAAACACTGGTCCTATCATGGCGAGACGGTTGCATGCAATGAATAATGAATAATGAAGACATACCTCAGATGGTTGGCCTCGATGTTCCCATTGGTCTACATGTTCACTTCGCTGATTACGTGGTAGCAAATTGTCCATGTTAATTCAAGGATTTCTCAATGTTACACTGATTATATTTTTTCATATTTTTTTTTTTTCTTTTGTTGTTTCATTGACTTCTATAGTTCTACTGAAATTTATTCGAAGATCTCTAACCTCTACAAATACAGACATACAATAATCTGTTGTAATTATACATTTTCTTCAATGGAAACCAACATTGAGAACGGCTTTAGAATTAGAGAGAAAAGTTAAAACTGAAAACTCCCCAACTCAGGCACCAGCTTCCTACTTTTCTTTACAGAAAAGATTGAAACAAAATCTACATATTTACATTATCTGTAACACTGAAAATGGTATCACTACTAGCTACCTGGACTTTCCACTGCTCTGATTTCCTTGTGATTTTGATTGGTCCTCAATTTCCTTCAAGTAAATTTCTGATCTGCCTTCTCCACTTTCAAATGGTAAAATTGACACTGGCGCAGCCGGCACCGCATGCCACCGTTCTCTCAAGAATTTAATGAACTTTTGAACCATTTTTCTGCGGAACTCAAGCTCCCTTGAGAACATATCCAAGAGAAGAAAGGAAAATATGTACTTGAACGGGACAATGAGGAGTATGGTTGCAGAAGATATCAGCACCAGTGCAACCTCAGTAGTGATCTGAAAAACGTGTCATATTAAACATCGACAGGACTAAAGATCAAAATAATGCAAATTGATAAAATGAAAAGTCCCAAAATCTGATGAATCACATAATATTAAATATCCGCCGGGACAGGAGTAAGATCAAATAGCATCCCAAAAATTAAATTGATCTCTACCTAAAGAACATGCGTGAATACACATCACAACTAGAATTCTCATTACTCATAACATGATACCTGTGGATGGCCAGAAAGTAAAATAGAACGTATTTTGAGGAGGGAAACATTCACTTGCTGCAAAAAATTCTCAACATCACGCATGGCATCTTTTACCGCCATAATCTTTTGTATAGTATTGGACGGGGGCTGATCACGTATTGTGACTTCACCAAAAGATCGTCCAAGGCGGCCTTGATCTTTAAGGGCCCTGATTGTCAGCATGCCAACTGCCAAAATCATCAGCATCATGGGAAACATATATGACAGCAGGTTTCTGGAAAAGACAAATTAAAACATCAGCTGATCAAACATGGAAGGAAAAGGTTCCCAGAACAATTATCTAGAATTTCAATTAGCTGGTAATAAACATATGCTGTAAATGTGCTATCATAAGCATGGTCCTTTAACACAGCTTGGTTGGAGGGAAATTGAGGAGAGTGTAGAAAAATCCTTCCACATCCAATTTTTGCTCCTTATTTAAAACATTCAAATAGTGATGACTACAATATGCCACTTAAATAAATTTTTAAAACATCTCCTTTCCCTGTGACCCAAACAAGAAAATAGTTACCTCCCCTTTCTTTCCTTTCCTCCATTAAAATCCTCCCCTTTGAAACAAACAGTCCCTATCGAAGCCATATATCACCAACCAAAAGAAGAATTTAAACCCAAGAATGTTAATAAAATTTCCCATGATAATCAGGCCTTTTTTTTTTTTTTCTTAATATCCATACCACTCGAAACAATGTATATCCCCATAAAATTATCCATCGATATTACTCACAATTCCCAAAGACTTCAAAACAAATTACTAAAACTACCTTGGTATCTATGGAGACTAGTTGGTCACCACGAACAACAATAAAAACTGTATATTACTATGCGAGGTCGGTTATATTAATCACATGATGCCATTGAGCTTGGTTAAAAACCAAACTCTCAGATATGTTATTCACAATGAAATTCATTGTTCACCAAACTGGAAAGTGCATTACATTTATATGGTCCTCACATTTTCTGCAGGTCTAAACTGTTGTTACAGTCAGGTGCATGAAGAAATGAAGTCTTTCAGAAATAAAATGTAAATAAATAAATGTCTTTCATAAAAATGAAAAAAAGAAAAGAAAAGAAAAGCTAGATACCAAATGATCATCATGCTGACTTGTGACTGGGAAAACAACAACCATCAATAACATAATAAAAGAATGGGGTGAGGATCTACCTATAAATTATTGTATAGGTGAGTCCAAGAAAAGCAACAGTCAAGTGTGGCTCCTCCCAGTGCCTAAGCTTTTCAAAGTTTTTTACAATCAAGGCGAAAGGAAACATTAGCTCCTGCGCAGGAACAAAATCACTATCAAAGAGCTTATGATTTTTGGATTCCATTCAAAGAAAACAACAAAAACAAGCAAGCTAATATGATGACCTAAGGAAACATTGCTAATAAAGACTCGTGCCATGAACTGAACACTTATACAGTAAACCAAAATGTAATTTGGAATATGAGAATGAGTTAAATCGGATAGCATTAGCAATACAATATATTAAGTTCAATTCAATAGTGGTAAAAGAAAAGAAGAAGCAACATATCGTTTAACACCCACTATGGTAATCATGAAATTTCAAAATGAGGAGGATAAAATTTTAGTCACTATTCAGGTGGAGGGGAGTGTTGATAGACAGGGATTATCACAACTCCCTCCTCCCTCCCAATTTTTTCGACCTACACTTTTGCACATGTGTTTTTTAAAAATAATTTAACTTTCCCCTCCACCCTACCAATTAAATTATTATTATTATTATTATTATTATTATTTTGTCCTATATCATTCAAAACACTCCAGCTCCTCCCATGTCTCTACTTCACAGTAAGTAGCAATGGAAGGGCAAAAGCTTTAAATTGGGTTGCATTGCGGACCAACCTCAGCCAATGTGGTCTGCAAATGCAATCATAGCTTGGTGTGGCTGTGGTGGTTGCAGCCACAATTCAAAACCTCATGGGTGTCCTATAAGGTAATATTTTACTGGGTAAATTACTCTCCCCTTCCAGGAGAGATGCTTATATAACACTTCCCTCCCCTGTTATTTTAAAATATACGCTCTCCTCCCTCCAAAGATAAATGTAAGTTACACTTTGGTCCCTTTCAATATAAATAAACCTCTCAATAGAGTAGAATAATTATGAATGTGTCACCAATATAAACATCTTATTGATTTTAGTATTTTAGAAACTATAATGAAGTTTGAACTACTTGTATTATCAGCTTCTAAATTCATCTATAATCTTTATTTTGTCTTCTAAGGTCACTAAGTTGGAGGTAGATATCTAAAACTAGTCAATCATGTCATGGAACATTGAGAAAGAAAAAATGTCCAAAAAACTCATTTACAATAAAATGGACTAAAATGTAAAACACAATCGCCTTGCTATAACATAGAAGGGTATATTTTTTCAGATGATAGGGGACAGAAATGCAATATAACTTACAAGCATCACTTAAGTGAGAGGAATGCAATTTATTCTTTTTGTTATATTTGATTTTTCTTTTGTTTCCATAGAGGGCTAGAATTGTATAGGATGACACCATTTATCCGCACACTGATAAAAATGATCCCAACATAATGTAGAACAGATTATTGGTAACAATATGAGATACAGTACAACTTTCAAACAATTATAAATTTTTCATATTTAATTCCAATATTAAAACATCAGACAACTCCATCCACTTTAAAGGAGAAAAATACTGTAATCATGATTCAGGAAATTTTATGAAAAAAAAAAAAACATTGTGAGTAAGAAAAATATTCAATACTGGTCTTTATTGCAAAAATATAAAGGGTGAGGCGAAATTAATTACATCAACAACACATTATTGTCAGTGCTTATACAAATTACAGCTATTCCAAAATCCTATTACTGATAGTCAGGGGCTCATGGCACAATTATATCTAGTATTTAGTGGAAAAGATAATAGTAACACCAAATCACAAGAAATTGTGTGTAAAATCAAGAAGCATGCAAACACTACTGATTTAGATTGAACATATAGATAACTAGTTTGAATGTCACACAAAGTAGTTACTAGTTACTTAAATCATCAAAGGAGGCAAGAGAGCCAGTTAAGCATCTCAACCTTGAAAAGATCAATGTTGCTGGGTATGCCTTGTAGAGTTGCAGCATCAATAGTTGCTTGAGTCTTCTCCACAACGTGGTACTTTAGTTTGCATGCTTTTGCTGCTCTTTCTGTGAGTGATAAATCAGCCACAACAAGATTCTTACTCAATATTAAACCTTTTACCGAAGCGTTCTTCCAAAAATTTGTGGAAGTACTAGAGCCCCAAGATGGAGATTTCATCCACTTCTGCAAATAGATACTTCCATCTATGTCAAATACATGGTTTCGGCTATCAGCTATTTCATCAGAAGACCGAGTTTCTGCTTGATTGCGGGTATTTACAAATCCTGTAACTAGTGGACCGCCCCAATAATTAACAGCTAAAGTTTGGAGGACAATGTCACCAAGTGGTGCATTCTGTAAATATGAGAACTGGACAATTTTGGTCGGATCATAAAGCAACTTCCGCAAATATTGAAGGGCTTGGAGTCTAGCAATACCATTAATAGCAGCTATTGTTGCTCTACCATTTCCTTTGCGAGCTCCATATACATTAAACACTGACTCATCATAGTCCTCAGGTCCATACTCACGTATGAACCTGTGTAAAGCGATGACTTCATTTATAAATGCATGCCAAACATCCCTCCTCATCTCACCTCCTAAATCAATGAATTCCAGCACCCACCTATTCAACCTAAGTATGAATATAAAAAGAAACAAAAAATACATTATTTTAATATGATAATAATGCAGCAAAGCACCATATGCGAATGTGAGGACACAACTGTGGGCTTTGGTGCACATTTACTAACAAGCTATGTAACTTAATTAATATTTTATACACAAGAGAATTTATTAAATGAAAAATTAAATTATTAGTTAATTAGAATTTAAACAGAATTCTATTTATTGGAACTAAAGATCTCAGAATAAATACTTCAATTAATTTAGTACATACATGATGATAGGAAGTAGTTCATTAATTAAAAAACCTAATCATATTACAATAAGAACATCAGGAAACATGAAGAAGCTTACTCACTCCTTCTCTGAGCCCGAAGAAACAGAAACAGCAGAGTCAAAAAGTGAAGACCCTAAAGGCCCAACCTTTGCCTTCTCTACCTGTAATCCATTACGTGTAAGATCCAATCTCATAGCTCTCTTCTCTCCGAGTATGCTAACTGCCTGGAACATATAGATTTGAAAAGAAATATAAAACAAGATGGTTATTACTTTTCTTATCATAGAATCTTTTTTTGATTTATAATCTATCACTGGCTCACTTCTACACACATTAGCAAGCAAGCAAGCCAGACAGTGCCCTTCATAGTCAATCTTATTTTAGCATTATCTACAGTGAAAGTCTCTAGTGGATAACTGTCTTAATAATCTCAGATTAATTACTAGCAAATAACAACTAAATGACATCTTCTCAAAGTTAGAATCCCTGGCTCATTATTTTCTTGAGTTGAAGCCATGAAGGGAGTTCCATTGGACCAATCTCTGGTAGAAATCAGCTGGATCTTGTGAATTGGGGCTTTTATGAAACTATGAGCAGCCTTTGGGAAATTTATTTTTATTATGGAAAAAATATAATTTTTCTACGTTGAGATGGTCTCAACCTTTGACTGCTGTAACATGGACACACTATTATGCTAATTCTAGATCTAGAAACTGATTAAATTGTTTGTCTTGGTTCCTGAACCCAGTCAGAACCTAGCAGGGTCAGAGTTTTTTGAAGCCATAATCTTAAAACATTCAGTTCTTCATATGTACAATTAGAAACTCATTCTACTTGAAGTTTATTCTTTTGACTCTGCACATGGACAATTTCAATTACTCCTTTTTTTTAATGGGGGGAAAACTCAGATGTGATAGGTCAAGGAGATCTTATAACATGAGATTATGTGATTTGATCGAGATTAGAAATTATGGGTCTAAAGCTGTAACAAATCATATGTATTTTTTGGTTGTTGTAGCATTTAATTCTGTTCCAGAATGTTAAACAGATTATTCTTATGCATCGTAACACCAACAAACAACAAAGCAATCAGATACACTATTTTTTCTATTCACATCACCACAATCATAAAGTATGTTTACACATACTAAAGACGATATAACCAATAAATATAAAATATAGAGCAGTAGTTGTGCTTTGTATAGAGAAATCTACAGATCTTTTTGTATTGCTGTAGGTAAAATCCCAAATTTATGTAGAGTAGACTACATAACCGTTAAGTTCAGTAAAATTGTATTAGACAAGAAACAAAAGATAAGAGAACAGCTATATATAGCTGTATAACATTTAAAGAGACTGTAACCAATATCTCACTAACTAAGAACAGAAAACATAACAGATTGTAACAAATCAACAGACTTAACTAACTCTACAACTGTTCAATCATTACAGAACATATAATACTAACTGTTTTAGATAGTTTACTACTCTAGTAATAAGCATAGTATAGAATCATAAAATACCTCAAAATAGATTGCTCTATCAGTAAGAGTAAGTTTGCCAGGCCATGCCATATTATTCTCCCATTTCAGAACAGGCCGCTTACTGTTGGAACCAATGCACAAAATTTTCTCCTGAGATAGTTGAGGAAACTCTGGAATCTGATACGAGATCTGTTTTTGACGGACTCTACAGTAATATCAGTACAAAAAGTTGTCATACCAGAGAATGTTTAAAAGTTCTGAGAGCATTCCAGCTCTATCAAGCAAAGATCATGTTACAGAACAAACCATAAAATGAAAAATGGAACTAAAAATTATATAATGTCCTTATATTGTATATTACAATGCTCAACTCAAGAAGCTGTACATATGGAAATTCTACAAATAATTTTATCATATACTAAAGCATCAGAACTAAAAGTGAGCCTTCAATGTAACAGATTTCTTTTGCAATAGCTTGCATAAACCTTCACAGAAGCAATTTAGAAAATTGAAGAGCAAATACAAGAGGAGTCGTCTGAAGCAGTGGCATTACGAACAGAAAGTTCAAAAAAGTGAACAAAGATGGAAGAACTAATTATCCACCATATTTTTTATTACCAAAATTATGAAAATTCAGAAGATCTTCTCACGAATAAATCTTATTCCCCATATCATGCTAAAAGAAATTCCATTCTTTTATACACTAATTATCTAGGTAAATTCAGAACACCTAGTGCACTAGAAGCATTTGAGATTTTCAAATCGGAAAACCATTACATGTGATTTATATTTCCTCAACTTGGCAGTCAAAACACATGTTTCTTGGATGTCTTCTAAGATCATCACATCATTGACAAAATGATGAATAAAAACTCACTTGACAAACTCATTAATGTAATTCAGCCATGAGCTCAAAGAAATGCCCTCTTGACTGCCAGCAAGAGCCTTGAAAAGACTGTGCACTGTGGGACGGTCAACCACACCAGAGATTGCAGGAGCAATACGAACAAAAGCCTCCTCAGTGACAAGTTTTTTCTGCTAAGTTCACAAAAGTTACATATATGAAGTGATCTCTCAAAATCATAAAAAATAAAGTGAAATAATACAATTGTGCTGAAGAAAATAACTAGAAATCCTTGAACCAAAGTATCTGCCACCTTCAATGTTCTATTGTGACATCATTGATTAAATTCACGAGATTGATGGAATAATATTATTTCCTAGATTATCACTAACGAAATTGATGAAATAATATTTTTTCCTAGACTATCACTAACAAGATGGAGGACACGTTTTTTGTTGGGTAACATGGAGGATACTTTATATTTATAAGAGAACTACTTTCCAGTTAGTCATCTCTATCACCCATAGAAGTTTAAACATTGTGGTACAGTTCAATGGACAATAGACAAACTAAAGGGAGAATTCCTGACAAAGATGTTAACACTGTTCTCATATCTCCCACATGCAATCACCAGTAAATTCAATGCAGGTAAGACAGCTTAATTATATTAACTATACAAAAGAACTGAACCTGTAAAGAAGCCTTCTCTTCATTATTGGAAGGGTCATCAGTATAAGGATTGCCCCAGGCAAGCATGGTTATGAATATCAACCTCTGAAATGCAGGGTCCTACAGACATGTCCAAAAGCAATAAGCATTGCATTTCCTATTCGGAAATAAAAGAATAAAGTTTATTCAGCATGACTGTATTAGATAATTAAATGGGAATGTAAAACAAAGAAATCCAGGAAGTTAGGCGTCTTCTGTCATTGCTGCATTTTTTAGTATTTAAATTTCCCAGAGAGCATTTTTGTGTTACACAGCAACTTTTCAGAAAATTATTTCATAGTAATTGTGTGCTTTGGTTAGGAACGAAAAGAAATAATTTGATTAAATGGGATGAAAGGAACAAGATATAGGAGATAAATCTCTCTTCCAAGGGTTTTCCTTTGCAAAGGATAAGTGGTGTTGATCAGATGAAAAGAAAAACATGCAGCAATTTGAAACAAAACATTATTTTATTCTATTATTGAAAATTGTGTTCAGTAAATAAACTTTTAAAACATATACAATGAGCAAGAAAAAAAAAAGATTTTACCCTACTTTAACATGAAAAATAACATGATAAAACAAAAATACCACATGCATGTCTGAAGAAAGCATAAGGAACTTTGACAAAACAAAACAGAAAATGAACTTCAGAACATGGTTTGCAACATACATAAAAAGAACATGCTATACCTCGAGGGAAGGATGAATAGCAGAACCATCCCTAGACAAAAATCTAAAGCAGCAATATTCAACCAAATTACGGGCATCATTATATACAGATTCAGGCACTAGCGCTCCAAATATTTTCTGCATTTTCTTCCCAGTCAATCCATTCATCCTGCATATCTTATTTTTGAAAGGTCAAATAATAATTTTTGTATCAGTCTGATAGGCATGATGCAAGCCAGCAATTCAAAAAGACAGGACCCTCATTAATGGTGCTCATAGAATTCAATTTTCCATTGATATTAAGTTAAAAAAGCAAACACATGCCAACTGATTGATAGCTGCTCACAATCTCGCATGGCCACAGCCCTCACCTCTACTATCAGAGGTGTGGTTGCTTGATGTTGTAGGTCCATTCCTTCCACAGGCCCCTGGGAATTGGGACCTCATTGAACTCAAGAAACAAACATTCTGAACTCAAATAAAGATAGAAACAATTTGGATTTTCAGCCAGATTTGAGTACAAACAGGGTTTCCTTAAACAAAAAGTTACCTCCCTCCGAAACACTAGGAAAACAGTCTAGCACCTTAATTCCCTGTTAGAAGTCTGTAATACTACTTATATATCACTAGAACTGTGACATCATAACCTATAATTGCCTAATCCAAAATTGATATGAAGATAACTGTCTAATGACTTCCTAATACATAATTATAATAAATCAGATTTTTACCAATCAGACATTCTACGTAAAGCAGAAAATAAAAGTAATATATATCCTGATAGGAAAGCTGTTTACCCAAGCATTTAGTAAAAATGATAAATTGAAAAATATATTCTTGAATATATCAGTCATAGCTCCCCTCATAGATAACTAGAACCAGACATCTTATTTTTGGATTAAAGAAAACAATGTAAGAAACTACAGACATTATCAGAACCAATATATAATCCTTTTAAGGCAAAAGAAAAGGAAGAGCATAAAATATACATTATCTAGTGTCTTCTCTTATTACCCTTTTTTTTCATTAATTTTGAGAATAAATAATTTTACCATCCATTCCAATTACAAAAGTAAAAACATATTTCATAGAGCACTTCTATTTACTTTGACCTTCAATTTTGATGAATGCTCTTCGATTATATATTTTACTCTTGAATTTTTATATAATTCCTTTGACAAACCGCATTGGCCCAATGACCAATATACAAATTTTCATCCAAAATAGAATGATTTCCGTGTATTCACCTGCTGAATTGTTCAATACAAATCACAGCAGCTAGGGAAAGAACCCCACATGGCGTTCTGCGGTCAATTGTCTGCTCTATCATAAATATGTCTTCCATGACTTGAAATCCAAAATCATTTTCAGGATCAGGCTTCTTACTTTGACCAGGTTTTGCAAGCGGAAAAGTCACTTCATTGAAAAAATTTTGGGTCCTTGACATCAATACATTCAATCTTTCTTGAATAGAACCTTTGATAAAGAAATGAAAGTTTAATTATTAAAATAAACAACCAGAAGGAGAGATACCTAAAAATATAAATTAGAGATGTTATATTCTTTTAACCTCTTCGTAGTTTCATAAACTTAAAAACAAAATGGAAAAGCATTTAATATTGATAATTGAGTGAGTAAAGTGACAGATAAAGCAGTGGAATAACCAAATAAGACAAGTACATAAACTATCCTTCAATTCCTTTTCATTTTAACAATTTAAGCTTATATAACTTTCCAATTCGTTTCATGAGAACTGGTAAAAGAAAAGAAAAATAATTGTTGAACTGTGATTCACCAATTCCTTCATGTACTTGATTGAAAGTCGTTTGAGATTCATCTATGATAGAAATAAATATGTAGTCAAATTGTATCGAATAGTAAGATTCAATTTGTGAATCAAGTACATACACAACTGAATAGGTGTGTCTCGTATGACCATGAATGAGGGAAAAATTCTTAGTAAAAAAATAGTAATTTAAAAATAATTGCAAGTGAATAGACCATGGTTGGAAACACACACAAGAACCACACAGGTAATCGAATCTAACCGAACTCAAACAATAAGCTTGAAAAGTGAGGTGGCACTTTGAGCATAAGAAGTAAGAAGAGAAAGTACCAGTACTTATGTCATTTAGCTTCAATTTATCCCCTAAAGACTGTGGCACAAACTTGAACGGAAACTTTTGCTCTGAGAATATTCTTCTCGAATACTTGTATGCACAAAATCCTCTCTGGGAAGAAATCATGTATCTGGGTGATGTCCCCAACTGGGTAATCGGAAACTTTGACCCCATAATATCTTTTCGGTGGTTCCGTGCTCAAGATTCAAACTTTGATAAGCATCCAACAAAAACAGAGAAGTAACTTATTAAAATAGAAGAGGGTGAGAATTGAGACAGAAAACTATTGAGATCATCCATTCATACTTTTGCAGTTATTCTGATTGCTCTGCTTTATATATATATATATATATATATATATATATATATATATATATATATACACACACATATTATTACTCAGTGTTACTGAAAAATTAATAATTATTCTGATTTCTAAATTCTTTTCCATGTTTTTTATTCTAAATTAATAATTATTACATGTATTGACAGAGAGGGTAATGCGGATCAGGATCCGTTTTCCTAAGCTCACCATCACAACCCAAGGATCCCTATTATAATTTAAAAAATAAATCTTTGTCATATTATATAATAAATATATTATTTGCTAGACTGGCATTCGAAAATCTTAATTAATAATAATTAAAATAACATATAATAATATATTTTAGATAAAGAATATAATATTATAAAAATATTTTTCCTTTTTTAATAAATTTAATATTTAATTTATCATTTTTAATTATATTTAATATTTATTTCAAATAATTAAATATGAGATTCGCATAATTAATTTATAAATTTTTTTAATTATAATTGATTTTAAATCAAATTAAAATAAAATTTTAATAATAAATTAAAATTGATAAATAATAATATATAAAATAAATTTAAATAAGAAAAAATAAATTAAACAAAAAATATATATACAATATATAAATAATCTATCAATTTAAATATTAAAAAAAAATATACCAATTAACGCATTTACTACTCACTTGACCCACGCCAACTATGAATTATATGTGTTTTTAAATGGGCTTGAAGGCCCATCTGTATGACCCGACCCGGCCATGCACCCCTATTTATAAAAATATGGTATATCCAGGTGCAACCAAACTACAAATAAGATTAGAACTTGCTATAAATGAATTCTGTCAGATATTTTGGGAATAATTTTTATTTATTTATAAGATATAAAGACAGAAAATATAGAAAATAGGAATTTTTACTATTTTTGTGCAATTTTTTATTTATAAAAATGACATATCTCAAGGAAATTGTAAAAATAGATAAATCGTGTTCACCAGTTATGTTATTAACACATTTGATTCTTAACTTTTTTTAATCCAAGTTGATATCTAATAATTATAATCCAATTATTTTGATTAGATAAAATCTTATTAAAATAATAAAGAAATTTAGAATTGATTATGAAATGTGAATAGAGTCTTACTATCAAAATAATTGAGAATATAGTAACTCTTTCTTCTTTTAGTTTAAAGAATTTAAGCACGGATTAATAATAACAAATATGTAATTTCAAAGAAACTTTATTAGAATAGTTTTACTTTATTATTAAAATATTATTTTTATTTAGGTAAAAAATAAATAAATGTTAAATGGATTAAAATTTTAATATTTATTGAAGATTGAGAATAATAGTTAATTTAAAATACTAAATTATAATCGTTATATTATGTGGTAACTATTTAATATTTTATTATATTGTAAATATTTTGTTAATAATCTTTCATTATTTTATTACAATAATATTATTTAATTAAGAAATAATAAAGAAATATATTTAACTTATACTTATTTCTTCTAATTTAAATATTTTAAATTTTACTTTTTTTCAATTAATTTTCTTCAAAATATACATGGGATAATAGTAAAATAAGGTTTATGGAATTCATAACAGTTTAAAAAAATAAATTAGAATACACATTTTTTTTAAATGAGATCGAAACCAACCACCTAAATCACTGTTGCAACCAACAACTAATCTGTTTTATTTTAAATAATTATATTTTAATTAAATAAAAAAAATACAAATTTAACTACATTTGTAGATCGCCGTGGTTTTAATAAAAAAATTAAAATTATTTTTTTTAATATAATTTTTGTATAAAAATATAATATATTTTATATTTATAATATTTATTATAATTTACGATAATTATAATAATAATTTTTATTACTTTTTATAAAAATATTATTATTAATTTATGATGATATTAATGTTGACAAACTAGAAGGGTGTAAAATGTAAGCAAGATATGGCGTTATCCTCTCCCTCCCTCTTTTCAACTCTGAACGCCAAATCTTCACTACCCCATTTCCATGCACCAAACCTTTCTTCATCTTCTCACTTCCCAATTACACCCTCCACTACCCATCTCCTTCTCCCTCGCAAATGGAGAGCAAAGGTTTCGTTTTTCCCTTCCTTCTTGAAGAAACGCAAAGATGCCAAGAGCATCAAGGAAGAACTCCTTCAGGCCATTGCACCGCTTGATCGAGGGGCTGATGCCACTCTCCAAGACCAGCAAACGGTTGATCAGGTCAATTGCATATCATGCTTTCTCAAATTGTTCAATCAAACGTTGTCTGCAACAATGAAAGCTAATTAATGTTTTTCTTTAACTAGTTAGCGCATACCTACTTTGTTCATGAAACTCTACACCAGTTGTGAAACGCCAATTTTTATGAATAATGTTGTGGTGCTTTTTTTTATATGATTCATTTTCTCTCAATAAAGTTGTGGCCAAAGTTTCAACTTCACTTGCATCTCTATTCTTGATTCGTGCAATTTATTTTTGATAGATTGCACGCGAACTTGAGGAAGTTAGTCCAATAAAGGAGCCCCTAAAATCTAACCTTCTGGATGGAAAATGGGAGCTTATATACACTACCTCCCAGTCAATCTTGCAAACCAAGGTAAACAATTATTTTACCTACCTTAATTTCATATTTATATTCAGGTGATGATAAATCATCTCAATTAGGCTATTCCAAACCGAACCCTTTAAACTGAAGTGAATTGTAACTTGTGAAATTGAAATATATGGAAAACATGTTTTTTAATAAAAAAATCTATTGATAATGGTTCAAACAGATCCAATAGTTCAAGCAAGTTGAACACAGTTTATATGCAATTTGGAGTAGTCTTGTTCAGTTCACCTGAGCTGTTATACAATTCATATTACGTAGTTCAGTTTAATTCGGTCGAAATGCTTTTACATTTCAATTCAGTTCTACAACAGTTTAGTTCAATTCATCATTATCTACCCGTGTCTAAGATATGTTAGATATTATGATGTATCTAATGTTTGTAAGCAAATTGCAGGTTGTATCGTTCATTTCTGCGTTCACAAATTATTTTTCAAGCAAAAAATCATATTTCACGTAATGCACACCGAATTCTGTTCATATTAATTGTTAAATTAGATAAAAAGGAGAAATTATAATGAATTGTGATAAATTTAAGTTTTGATATTTGAGGATAGAAATCTAACTAGACAAATAGTTAAGAGAATAAAGTGAACTCCTGTACTATATATGATGTACATAATGTTCAAAAGCCTTCATCTTTTACTTGGAGAGTTCATAATAGTAGATCATAAATGCTTTGTATTCATTGAAGAAATGTACATTTGGTTGTAGAAAAAATATACTACCACCTGAAAATTAGAAAGAGTGTTTTTCTTGCTTCTGGTTTAGGAATTACCCCCATCATAGTATGGAAAGTGTTTCGGTAATTAATAGTATCTGTCTAAATGTTTTCTCTTTATAAAATATGATACAAACATATAATATTAACCATTATATACATGGTTAAGCTCTAAGGTAGAATTTTCAAGAAGCTGCCATTATAGCTCCAAACCTCCACGAACAATGCTTACCTGGATCTCCAACTTTGTCTGGAGTTTGATCATAAAATTGTCATGTACATGCAAACCTTTTCAGAAAAGGAAAATATAGCACCAATATCTATTACGTGTATTCAGTCATTTACTAGCCATCTAGCATTAGTATCAAAACTAAATTCTCTGTTTATGAATTTGTACTCATAATGAAGAAAGTCCTCCATAATGTTTCTTATGCAATACTTGACCCATATTTTAACAAGCTTACACTAAATTCCAAAATATTTGATTTGCCATTTACCTATTTTTGCCTGGTAAATTTTTCAAAAATGTAATGACAGAGACCAAAGTTGTTGAGATCAGTTGCAAATTATCAAGCAATCAATGTGGATATTCTTAGGGCCCAAAATATGGAATCTTGGCCATTCTTCAACCAGGTAACAATTGTTAAATTGAGACAAGTTCTCACCATTAATGCATTCTCATTTTGACAACTGCTTACGTAAACATAAAGTCAATATTGTGTAGGTAACAGCGGATTTGACACCTCTAAGTCCAAGGAAAGTGGCTGTAAAATTTGATACTTTCAAAATTGGAAGCATTGTAAGTATTCAGTTCAGAGTCTTAATAATTACTATTGAAGTTGAATCTATTTTGTAACGTTCTAGCTGACATTGGATTAAGAACCTTAGGAGTGAATAAAGTTTTGCAAATTCTAATAACCTAATAAGTTCCTACAAAGTTCATACACATTACATTAGTTATAGTTACTATTCTAGCCCTGTAATTTGGAATTGATTAAGTGCCCTAATGATTAATGTGTATGAAAGTTTCTGTCCCGTTGAAATAATGGCTTGTGAGCATGATCTATTCCATCACAATGTACACATGCAGATACCTATTAAAGCACCTGGAAGAGCTCGTGGGGAACTGGAAATAACATATTTGGATGAAGAACTCCGGTGAGTTACCAGCTAGATTATATGTAGAGAATATTTAGTTGGATTCATGTTTATTCTTTTTGGAGAAAGATGTTTTTGAACCCATTAGACGATCTTGCATATCTCCTTTGTAAGTATTTTCCTATCATCTGGTATAGATATCAAAAACTCATTTTCATACTTTGTCATAATGATGTAACAGGGTATCAAGAGGCGATAAAGGAAACTTATTCATCTTGAAGATGGTGGATCCATCTTACAGAGTTCCTGTATGATGCCATTGTCATCATTGCAGTGCAACACTTGCGTTCACCAACTCCTTGTTTTCTCCCTTTCGAAGGATTCAAACACTTTCTGTACAAAGAGATAAAAGCAAATAGTATGAACATATTCTTAAGCTCTAAATGAGTTCCACTCTTTTACGCCTTGAAGTTTTGTAGTGCATGGGAAAATAAAATTCTGATTCAAAAGTAGTTAACATAATTTATGCATTTAACTCCTCCAAAAGGTTGAAGTAAAAAAGTAGGTCATTAAAATGAAAAAGTCAGCTATTAATATTTCAATACACATTTTTGTATACTATAGATCTTCTAATGTTCAAGATATCATTTCGTGCATACTGGCTAAAATATTTTCCACACTTGGTTGATATATAATTGATTAATTTGAATACATTTATGAATTTATCTGTATATCTAATGACAGGCTTTATCAATAACATAGAGTACTCATTCATTTAATTGTATCAGATTCAGTATTTATATATTATGACTCGTTCCTCTTTGATAAGAGGAGAAAGATAATGTGATCTTATTATCATATTTTTCCCTACTTATTTTTCTGTCCCATCAAATGAGAAGATTATATCTTTTCATTTCCTGTTTTCAGATGCTTAATATTTTAAATCACTGCCTCAGTTTATTTGAGTTGAAGGTATTGCACTAATTTTTCACCTTATTTATGTCATTGTATCCTAGTCATTACCCTTTTGTGGAAAGGATTGAAAAGAAAGATATGTTGAAGTGCCCAAGTGAAGGTTAGGTCACCTCCCAATTCAAATTTAAATATTTCAAGAGAGAACAAATTTATTTTATTGTCATATTTATTTTTTTTAAATCATCAAATTTTAAATATTTCAAGAGAGAACAAATTGATTTTATTATCAATTTTTTTTTTAATATTTCAAAACTTTGAATGGGATGGTTGTTACATATAAATATCATTTTCTTTTTAATTTACCCCAAAACAGTTTACTTTTGAATAGCATCCCACAAATAAAAAGAAAATGGCACTAGTTTTTACTTTACAAAAATATTAGGGATATTATTTTTTTATGATCCTTTTACACAATTAAATGTTATTAGTTTTTTTATAAATTACAAAATTTAGGACCTTCGTGTATAATTTTGATAAACAAATAAAATTAATATTTGTGGTCATTATACTGTCTATTCGTGTATAATTTTGAGGAAGAGTCTTACAAAATATCGAATTTTACAAAATAAAAATAAACACTGTAGAATTTTTAAAAATGAAAAAAAAAAAGAGACTATTTTCTTACAACGTGGTATGTTAACATTCCAAACATAGTAAAAATGTAATAATTTTTTATTTAATATTTATAATCGTATCTTAAAGAAGATTTTTTTTTCTTTTCTGATAAGATAAGTAAAATGTGATGAATACATTGTTTGGAATGAAGGAAAGAGGAAAGAAATACATATTTAATATTAATTTTATTATTAATCATATCAAAAACAAGTTTCTCTCTAAAAACGTAAGTAGGATATGATGAATTTATTATTTGAAATTTGAAAAAAAAAGGAAAGAAATACAATAACCCAATTACAAAATCTAGACAATTATTATATATCATATTTATTAGATAATAGATTTATTATGTCTTTTTATAGATATAAATATTATTTTTTAATTTCCGAAAAATTGGCGAGCAGGACCTATTCTTATACGTATTTTTAACTATTTTACTTACTAAGTATTTATTATTATACCCTCCTCGTATTGTATTGAATTTGTTTGAACGGTCAAAAGAATTTGAAATATCTAAAAGAAAAAGCGGGCTAATTTTCATTCCATCTCTTCCCCTCCCAAAATATTTGGAGTTATAAGCCAAAACAACATCATATATTTCAACTTAATACATTTTCCAAACCCTCAATTATATCGCTCTCCACACAGAGATTCCGCATACCCTAAGGTCTATGCTACCAAACTCAGATCTTCATTCTACTTGAATTTCTCACTCTGTAAGCTGTTTCTGTTACCCCATTCTGCTTCTGTCTTGCTGAATTTTTAGAAATAAAAAACATGTTTTTTTTTTTTTTTGAAGTTTGATGAATGTCTTTTTCCAATCAATTTCTAAGATTTGGTTTTATTTCTCTATGTAATTATGAAATAATGTTTAAATCTCATCTGGGTTCCCTCTATTGTATTGTTTCAGAAGTAGATTTTACATAACTCGTGCACATAATTTTTAGATAGCTGGTGTTCAACTCTGTTGCTAGTTGCTAGTAACAATTTGATTTTGGAGAAAATGTTAAGATTTTGGAGCTAGCTCAAAGGGGTTGTGAGTTCCGAGAATGTAAATGCTTGAACTGGATCATGGAATTGTGAGATTGAAATAATTATGAGTCTTTATCTTTTTCAACTTTATTCTTTGTTCATATTGCTGCTTTGGAAAGATATTTCTGAATCTGTCTACTGACACTTCTCTATTTGATTTGTTATCCTCAGCAATGGAATCTCTCCCTGATGCCATTCTCCAATACATCTTGTCACATATCAGTAATGCTCGCGATGTGGCAACTTGCAACTGCGTTTCTAAGCGATGGAAGAACTCAATGGTTTACATCAGATCTCTCTACTTCCCTCGCAACTCGTTTGATAACCCTTCGGTTGGTGAGAGTCCGGAAGAGATTGTGAAAAGAATGGTATCAACAGTTGTGCGACTAGAAGAGCTAGTTGTGTACAGCCCCTTCTCCCATTCTGGCCTTGCTTCATGGCTATCACTTGTTGGTCTATCTCTTTCGCAGCTTGAGCTTCGAATGGACAACCTTGCTGACAACCAAGCCTCCCATCAAAACCCTTCAAAATTGGATTGCATTGGTGCAGCAAGGAATTTGAAATCTCTCAAACTATGGGCTGTCTTCATGATACCTTCCCCAAAATGGGATGTTTTTGAAAATCTTAGGACCCTTGAAATAATTGGTGCAAGATTGGAGGAACCTGCATTGACTGTGGTGCTTCAGTCTTGCCCATATCTGAGAAGGTTGCTACTTCTTGCATGTGAAGGGGTTAGATCAATCTCAATTGACCTTCCCTATTTGGAGCAATGTAAACTGGACTTTTATGGTCTGGGGAACTGTTCACTGACACTAACCTCCTCCAAAATTGAATCCCTTGAGGTACAAGGCTGTAGTTGGATTAGGGTTCCTGAAGCTCGGCATTTGAGGAATCTAGCGATATCAAATAGTGCAGGTAATTGAATTTTAAAAACATTCTTATACTTGCCTTTTTTTGTTCCCAAGTAAACTACAATGTAATTGTCTTTTTGGTTTAGCAGGCCTAATTTTCTCTCCTCTTTTCATGTTAATTGCTTCCAGGGAGAGTATATATGATTGAGTTTGGAAACCTTCCAGCTCTGGAGTTCCTGTCTATGAGAGGGGTTCAGTGGTGCTGGGATGCAATATGCAAAATGCTGAAATTGGCAAGTGAGGTGAAGCATCTTTATATGAAGGTGGAATTCACTGGGGATCTTGAGGCTCTTCAACCCTTTCCAGAGGTTGATTTTGTTGATTTTTTCAACAGCCATCCCAAGCTGCGCAAATTTGACATCCATGGAGCCATGTTTGCAGCACTTTGCCAGAGAAACAGTCTGAAACATGTAAATTCATAATAACATTTTTTGTATTATAAATCTGATTAAGGTTGTTCTATGACATCTTGTCTAATGAAGATGTTCATTTGCAGGTCGATCCGGGGTTTTTAATTCCATGTTTGGAGGAGGTTGTGATTACAGTGAGATCACCACTAAATGCAGAACAAAAAATGAGCACTCTTGAATCCTTGTTGAAGTACGGCAAAAATCTAAGGACTATGGTTATCAAGATTCTCCAGATGAAGAGCTCTCATAGCAGTGCTGATGATTTTTTTGATGAAATTTGCCGGTTTAGATACATGAACCATAGGATAGTTCGAATAGAATAAAGGTTAGATCAGGCCATTATTTCTTGATGAATTTTTAATACAGGACATTGCATACTGGTTTCCAGTTTCAAATGAACTTCTCAGTTGATGTCTCATTTTTGAGGAGTTAATTTATGGTTTTGATTGTAATTTGACAATTGATTAACCTCCCAGTTTGGGGAGTAAATGGTTTACCATTTTTCCCATGATTGCCAATAGTACAAGATAATAATGCCGCTGCAATGTTTTCCTATAGATAAGCTACATTTAAATTTGATGCAATTAACCAGTACACCAAAATAAATTGATGCTTATTTGATGATGGCTGTACGGTTCAATGGTATGATACTACATCATTAAAAGTTTGACATAATTGTTATGATGATAACTAAATTCTTAATGTTAACAAGCCTTTCACCATTTGCTTTTGCTTCTACCAAACCTTTTATCATCAGTTATCTGTGCTCAAACACTCAGCAACATCATTTTTTCGTTAAAAAAAAAAAGTTTTGGTCATCATTGATCATCACAGTTAATCTTTTCCAGAGAAAGTAATTAATAAATTATAGTCTTATATCAGATAAAACTTTCAACAAACTTCAAAAAGAGAAGTCAAAATATCTTTCAATGATTTGGTTTTCTAAATAACCGTTATTTTACCAAGTTGAAACTATTTAGTTTTTAAAGGTTCTCTTCTCTAACATTCTGATAAACATGTACAAATTATAGAGCATTCTTTTAAGTTAAGTACCAAATGCTTACCTCACTTAAGTTAAGAAGTTCTCATTAATTAAATATGATTTTACACATTTGAGAGGTGTGTCCAAACATGCTACAAGTTAGACAAAAGCAAATTGCTGTGGATAAGGAAATGGACACAGTGCAAGAATTTCACTACGTGAAAGAAGCAAAGCTCATAGAAAAGCCTTAGTTATATAAAAATTCTTCTTTAACATATAAAATCAACAGTGTAGCACTATCTAAATAAGCTTTTTCTTGTGGAAGTATCGCTTCAAATGCAACAACTGCAAAACTGAAACTCCAATGCAGACACCTAAGGACAAAAAGCTAAACCACACCACTCTTGCATTTGTTGATTCACTCACGTTCCTCATCTCTGCTTCTCTGAATAATATCCCAAACACAAACAGAACAAATATGATACATCAGAAAAAGTTAAATCGTTTGAAACAACTTTTATTTTGCAACAAATAAAAGTTACCTCCCCCTCAGATACATCAGATTCTCATGGATAGACTCCACTGATCCTTCTAGCTTTTTCAACTCAAGCTCTATTCCCTAGCCATCAATGTGAAATCAAATATATAAATATTTATCTAAAATCGTGTTAATTAGTATTTCAACAACTCAGAGTGGAATCAAATATGTACTAAAAGGTAGTATTTGTGCTCAGAGTAGATGAAACTATGGAGCAATTATGGAGTTTACAAATATAAATGAAATCTTTACCTGAATCTTCTCTTTTTTAGCAACCGAATTCCAATCCTTGGCTGCAATTCCTGTTTTCCAATCAAGCTCCACAGTAACTTCTCCACCTCGTTCATTACGACCCACCCAGAAGCATGCAAGGTACAGTCCACTCTCTCGAGATGTAAAAGCGAAATCACCCGTCGCTATGCTATCCATATGATGAAGCTCGTTTCCGTATGGTGATGACACCTGAACAAAACCCATCGTTACTATACAACCAAACACGGGTAGATAATTGGTATAATTCATCATTTCACGTAATAAAAGCATATAGACGAAGAGAAACAAAGAGTGTTAATCAAATATTTGCAGAATTTCTATATGAGTAATGATAAATAAACATTTACATGATATATACCTAACTCAACATACAGGGACATTCACACACTATATACACTCATTCAACATTCTTTATTTTCTCAATCTCTTTCTCTTTGATGATGTATGAATCATATTTCATTTTAGCAACAGTCCTATAATTTGAGATCACGACCTCCCGCAGACGTTACGGAGTTCTTTATTTAGCAAAAAGCAATTAAATTGCATTACATGAAAAACATACGCAATGCATGCATGATACGATATAAAAGCATGCATGCGTTAATGGGAAGAAAATTGAATTTGAAGAGCGACCCAGGAAAGAAAGTGGAAAAGGGTGGGCGAAAAACGTTACCTTGGCGGAAATGGTGGCGTTGGGGGCTTCAGCGGTGGCGACAACAGCGTAATGGCCCAAAACGACGACGTTGCTGTGGATTTCTTCGGAGACGCACTTGGTGCCAGCGGCTGGTAACGTTAGCCATAGGGCGCGAGAGGTTGAGAAGAAGAAGAAGAAGAAGAAAAAGACAAGTGGCAACAACATTGACATAATAATGTCTCTGTTCTATGTTATTCAAACACACACACACACACAATGTTTGTCGTTGAATGGATGGATCTAGTTTTGATTTGAGGAGCAAAGGTTCTTCCGATGTGACCAACAACTTAGTAACATGTAACATCTGTATCTGCCTCTCTTGCCTTGTCTCCTCCACCTATCTTCTTTTTTTAGCGATTCTCTTATCATCCATTGTTTATTATTCTCTCTCTCTTTTCCTTTCTCCGTCTCTTCTCTTTCCTTTATCAAGATAACGTACATTAGTTTCATATGAAAATTACGAAAAATAATCGAATACTTCATTTTTGTTTGTTATTTTGATATAGTATATACTAAATTCAAAAATAAAATACAAATATATTAACTCCTCAAATCAAATCCTCGACTCCAGTCAGAAATGGAAGTATATACATATGATAAACAATAAAACGTCATACATAGACGGATAAAGAAAAAATAATGTGTAATAATAACTTAGATTAAAAAAAAAAAATGATTCCTATTAAGAGAGGGAAAGAGAAACACAAAATTCAAATTTAAAACCATACACTAAAAATAAGAAAAAAAATACACCATACTAATGGATAGTTGTGTTTAAATAGAAAATTTTGTAGTTTTAAAGATATTTAATATATATTAAATTTGATTTATTTTTTATAAATAGATTAAAGTTTATAAATTTTAATTTTCTAATATTTCAATTATCTTAAAATATAAAAATTTATTTAAATATTATATAATATTTAATATATATATATATATATTAATGAATATTATTTTTTATAAAAATGTGTAAAAAAAATTAAACAAGGATAAGGTTTTTACATCAGTTGATATTTATAATTATGTAAAAAAATCAAACATAATTAATTATTTAAAATGATATTAATTAAGATTTATTTTTATGTTGTTGTCCTACTATTTTATTAATGTATTAAAAAATATTATTAAAATTTGGTAAAAAACCCTTTTTTCCAAATGATATTAAGCAATAAAATTATAAAAACTTTTTACGAAATAATAATATTGATATCATTAATACAAATATCTAAATATAATAAATAATGATATGTTGTATCAGATAAGAAATTTATCTTATTTGGATGGAGTATTTCCTTTTTATAGAATATTTGAAAATTTTTATCATGAAAATTAGTTGTTTAAATGAAAATTTTATAAATTGACGAGATATTTTAATTATTTAAAATAAGAAAATTTTAAATTTTATTTATAAAAAGAGTAAGATTTTGAAAATCTTAATTTTTTTCTTTTTTAAAATTATTTTTTATCTTTTTATCTTTACTCTTGTACTCAATTTCAACATGTTTCAATACAAATCAATCTAGTCAACATGACCTAACTTGAACTTTATTTCGTATAGATATGGTTTGAATAAACTTGATACATTTTGATAATCCTAAAATTATTTTAACTCGACCACTCTTATTTGGTTCATCTTATATTAGTCAGACTCAATTTATCTTGATTTAGATCAACCTACTTAATCTAACTTGTCATAACCTAATTCAACCCTTCTTAATCAAGTTTGACTAAATTAATTAAAACACGTTTGATCTACCTCGATCTAACTTATCTAACTTAACTCATTTTGATTTGACTCATCTAATCTCCTAACCTAACACATCTTTTTTTTTATCCTGACTCAACCTATATAATACTTACTGGTTTATCTTATTCACTTACACCTAACATGATCTATCAAGACTCAATTTAACTCAACATGATCTAATTCATTTTTGACACAATCAATTAGCCTAATCCAACTTGACCAAATTTTCTTGATCTAGTACAATTTTCTTTAATCGATTCGACCTTACTGATTTAATTTGTCTCGATCTCACTTGACTTGATTTAGTTTGTCAACCTTATCCATGTGGTGATGATCAAGTATCTTAATTAGACTTAATTCATACTTTTTTTTATAATTTTTATTTTTAATAATAATTAAAAATACTTTATCTAAAATCAAGAAAATTTAATTTAATAAATTTAATTTTTTTATCTAAATAAATTATTTAAAAAATTACATGATTTTAAATATTTTTTTAATAAATTTAAATTGTCTTATTTAAATAAATCATTTAAAAATTTAAATAATTTTAAATAAAAAATTTCAAAATGTAATATATTTAAATTTCTTAAAAATTACTTGAAAAGACAACATTATAGTAATCAATTATTGGTATTCCCAAACTTATTACAATCCCCTCCTAATTTTACGTTTCTCACTAGTAACTTTATACTCTAATTATAAATAATTTTCATATCAATAGTTGATTGAGAGTAATTGAAATATATTTAAGACATTTTTTTTATCTTTCTCAAACACAAAAATCTATGGTTATCATGTGATAAAATCAGTAAGGATTAAAAACTTGAACAAACATATTTACATTTGTATTTTGGTTTTAACAGTAGATGATGCGCAATCATATATATTTACATACATAAGAAAAACTTTAATAATACATTATTTGAGAGATTCTTTTGAATACTTTATCTTCTATTAATAAAAACTATCTAAAGAAAATTAATCGAATCTCCGCATCCAAGAGTCAACCTATATTTAGAGTATTTCAAACTAAATTTAGTTATTTCCAAATGACACCACAATAAATAAATAAATAAAAATCTCTTAAACATGTAATTATCAAAACTAAGATCTATTCATCATTAATCAAACAACACACACGCACTCTACATGTTCCCATACTCACTTAGAACCTCTCTAGACGCTTGCAGCTTTTGAGGGTTCAACCTAACTTTCGCCTCTATCTGGTTCAAGATTGCAGGGCCACCAGGGTGCACCACCCAAAACAACGAGTTCCAGTCACTAATCCCGAGTGGCTGGAAGCTTTCTTCCAACATTTTCTCTATGTTGTTTCCGATCAACATTGGAACATTGTCCTTCAGATGGAAAGTGAGTCCTATCTCGCGCAAGTGTCCCTCCATTGCACCCTCGGAGTTGGGTACAATTGTCTGAGATGCCGACACAATGTGAAACAAGGGTCGTTCGACGGAGGTTTCGGGGTTGGATCCAACGATGGCGGATGAAGCACCGTCACCAAAGAGTGCTAGTCCGACCAAGGAGTCCACGTGGGTTTCGGAGGGTCCACGAAATGCGACAACAGTGATCTCAGCACAGACAACTAGAACACGTGCTCCACGGTTGTTCTCTGCAAGGTCTTTGGCGAGACGAAGTGCGGTGGCACCGGCAAAGCAACCCTGGTGGTACAGCATGAACCTTTTGGTGGATGGTTTAAGGCCCAAGAGCTTGACAAGTTGGTAGTCAGCACCGGGCATGTCCATACCTGCGTAGCTGCAGAACACCAGATGACTGATATCTGACTTGCTTCTTCCCCATTCCTCGATGGCTTTTGACGCCGCCTTTGCACCAAGCTTCGGAATCTCCTTTACTAATACGTCTTGTCGTGCATCCAAGGATGCTTTTCTACTTCCTAAGTTGGGGTTCTCTGTCAACATTTCTTCAGTCAGGTGTATGTATCGTCTCTTCACCGTCGATTTTTCACCTGTATATATATATATATATGCATGTCGATAGTGAATGTTGAGAATTTATAGATTAATCATATTAAGTTGTAGTTCCATCAAAACTATTCATTGTTATATAACTTTTATGTTTGTCATAACATATTCATATTCTATTCCAAATTTGATTAGAAGGACATGGTGTATTAATTTAGAGAAAAAATAAGAATGATGGTGGTGGTAGATGAGCTTACATATGCGCTTGAACTTGGCCTTGAGTTGAGTCATGTGATCACTGTTGGTGATTCGGAAGTAAGTATCGGGGAAGTCGTCTTGTTGAAAGCAGTTGGGTGGATTTGCAGTGGCAATGGCTAGTATGGTGGCGGGTCCACCACCTATTTCTTTTCCTCTTATTTTCTCCAAATATGCCATTTGGTTTGAGCCCAGAGATTCATCCATCACCTTAAACATAACACAACAAACAATGATGTATGGTACTTGCTTGGAGCAAGATCCATCCATGTCTATTTATAGGCACTTATTTTCTTGTGTTCATAGTTTAAGGATGTGTCATCCTACTTTTCATAATAATTGCTAACAATAGTATGAAAGCAAGTGCATGCGTCTTTTAACGAAAGGTATTATATAATTAGACTTAATAAAAATGTATTAAAAAAAAACATAAATTGTTAATGCCATATAAAAAATTATTTGTAATTGAATAAAACTATTTCATATTATCAACACATTATAGTTAAACTCTTAATAATTTACGCACACAAAATTGGAAGAAAAAAAAAGTATCGTTTTTCTATTACTTCATTATTTTTGTAGATACTTTTTTTAATATTTTTATGTAAAAACTTAGTTAATCATAATCATATGGTTTTTATCATTTCTATATTTCTATATCATTGTAAATGCACAATTATAAGTAATTAATACTCGGTAGACAACCAATGTTATCTTCAATTAAATTCAATTGTTCCTCTTGTTTAATTTGTAAATGTTGGTCTTTCCATTTTAAGACCTTAGTTTCTAAAAATTGTTATCTTGTCGCAAGTGGTCAAATCCCTAATTTTCTATATGTTTTAGATTTTTAATTCAATTAAATTATAAACATAACATACTGATTAAGGGGGCTTATAAGAATCAGTTAAATAAAATATATAAGAAATGAAATTAGTAAATATAGAAAGATTTTAAATAGATATAAAATGTTTTTATTTTAAAATGGATTGAAAAAAATAAATAAAGCAAAATTATATTTAATCATATCTTAAATTTTGAAAATAACAAATCGATAATCAACCTTGGCAGGAATTGCTTGGTACGTTTGTTTGAGCTGATTATGAATGAATGTATGATATGAAAAAGATGACACTAACACATATAAATATGCAGCCATGCTTGAATTGAATATTTCGTGCACGCAGATTATTCAAAATTTACCAACATTTCAAAACAAACCATTGGCTTTTTGTGCTAATTTTTTCAACGTTGTTTTTATAATATTATTAGTCCCTTCATTCTATAATTTTATTAAAATAATTCCTCTGGCTAGTATATTTACTCTCTCATTAAGTATTTTGGACAAATAAAAAATAAAAAATAAAAAGGGTAATTTCATTGAAAAGAACCTCAATTTTTTCTTTTTTAAATTAAACTAAAATTTATATATTTTAGAACCGAATCATTTTATGATGCATCGTGAAGCCATCATTTTACTTCTCTCACCACCGCTTTGGTTTTCATTTACGTCACATAATGGTTCTAAATAAAGCATATTGAAAAAAAAAACTCTAAACTAATTTAATAGTATATATTATTAATATTTTCCAAAATAAGCTATATATATATAATTACAGAATATATTATAATTGTAAAAATGTATTTAACACCAATATTATAATTAAAGCAATATTCATTACCATTTTTTTTTCAGTTCTTTTGAAATATTATTCTTAGTGTATAAAATATCTTATTTTTTATATATCAACATATAAAATTGAAGTATTATATTATTATGATTTTGTTTATAAAGAATAGTATTAATTTTAAAAATGTATTTTAGTCCACTGGTTTATTTTCAAATTCATGAATTTTGTTCCTCTATTTATTTTTTCATAAATTTAATTGCTTACTATTTTAATTGTGTAATTTTGATTTATTTATAAGTTAAGTTGAAAAAAAGAAAAAAAAACATAAATTCGAGAATATAAATATATTATTTCAACATTTTACTTCTCAACTAAAATATGAATGGTTTACTTTAAGTAGTAGAAATTCTAAAATTTTAATTTTCTATAAAAAAATTATTCAAATAACATAATTATCATAAATACATAAAAAATTCTTTATAAAAATAAATTATCTTTTTAAAATTACTTAACCAAACATTTTTATTTTGTGAGAAAAATAATATTATTCAACTTAATATTTCTTTTACTATAAGTATTTTGTAAAATTCAAAGTTGTTATTACTCAACCAAGAGACAGTCTTTATCAACATGTAAGGGTATAATTCGAAAAAAAAAATCAAAATTCTAAATAGTAAAAAAAAATTAAAAACTCAAATTTTAAACGTGGAAAGTAGCTTGTGACTTCTTCCAATTTGTCTGTGTCTTAAATAAGAGTTATGAAACCACTTTTATATATTTTCTTCTTTCTCTTTCTAAGAGGTTCCCCCATTTTCTTTAGAATAAAAAACAATATATAGATTTTCGAACTATACCAAACTTTATTTTTTATATAAATATTATATTTTATCCAAATTATTAGTAACTTTAATTGTTAATTTTTATTCTATCAAATTAATTTCCCAGAACTTTTTATTTTTCTTGAATCAGGAAACCAATTTATTTTCCCTAAAACCTTTTCTTTCTTGCATTAATTTCCCTATTTTATATATATATATATATATATATATATATATATATATATATATATATATATATATATATATATATATATATAACTTTCGAAAATTTCACACTGAATTTTAATAAAAGTATATACACTTTTCAAAAATGGAATAAAAATACTCATAGTAATTTTCGTTTATATTTTAATTGTGTATAACTTTTTCTCTTTAATTAATTGTATTACCATGGTCAGTATATTGAGTCATAGTTTATTTGTTTGGATAAGGGAGTCGATTTGAGGATTAGAAAAAATAAAAGAAAAAGAGAGTGAAAAGTGATATTATTTGGATTAAGAGAAAGAGAGTGAAAAATAAAGAGAAATGAGAAAAAAGATAATAGAAGATAAGATTAAATAAAAAAAATAAAGTAATAATTTAAAATATATAATAATATAAGAAATATAATAAATATATATTACAACGTGATATACTTTAATATAAATTAATTAATTTATGTTATAGATAAAACTTTAAATATATTAAAATTAATTTATATTTAAATTATAAAAATAATTTGTGATATTTTAAAAAAATATTTAATTTTTATTTTTATAATTATAAAATTTAAAAGTATTTTTTTAATTTTAAAAAAAATATTATTTGGATAATTATTTGAAAATAAATTTTAAATTATTTAAATAATTAATCATAAATCATGTATATTTTTTTAATTAAAAAATTAAAATATAAGAAAAAAGATCATAATAAAAATAATATTATATATTAAAATTTATTAATAATGTATATTATAATATTAATATATTTAACTAAATTACAATTTTATTTAATTATATTTTTAATTTTATTAGAAATAAAAAATATAAAAATAAATATTTTTATGTTTCGATATTAATTTATAATATATATATATATATTATTTTAATATAATAATATTATTTCTTTAATATAATCGATTATTCATATTTATATAATCAATTAGTTACATATAATTCTAATTGAGTAGATAAAATCATTAAAATAAAATTAACTAATTAAAATTATATATTTTATTGATAAAAATATTTTGTTCCTAAAACTATATTGAAAATTTATAATTTCTAATTAAATTAAAATAAAAATAGAATTAGTTATATATATATATATATAGAGATATAAATAACTAAAAATAATAAAAAATTGAAAAATGAGAATTATATATTAATTAAAAAATAAAAAAATGTGTAAAATTACAAATTATTTATCTATATAAAGATATAGATATTATAGACAATAAATTTTTATAAATCCTCTTACAAACTTTATTAATTAAAAAATGATATAATTAAAATATTGATTTCACATATTTCATCTAATTATTAATAAAAAATTTAATAATATTATATTTATAAAATAATAACATTATAAAAATATATTATTAATAATTTTTTATATAATATTATTTTAAAATTAGATCAATAAAATAATTATTAAAAATAAATGATTTTGTAAAAGTTAAAGACAAATAATTTCACACATAATTTATTATATAAAGTTACATAATCAATTATACATATTCACATAATGGAATATAGATTACATAATTTATTATGAGTAGTTTTTTATAAAATAGAGTAATTTTAACTTTCTTACTAATGATTCAAATCTTCCCTATTTCGTGGGTGACTTATAGATGTAAATCTCGTATATCTTTATCGTAAAATCATCACAAATTAATTGAAACAAACATAATAAATTAGTAGAAATAAATAAGGACTTAATATTAAATTAATTGTCTTTTGTCTTTATGGTTCAATATTTAAGGGAAATATATATATATATATATATATATATATATATATATATATATATATATATATATATATATATATATATATATATATGTGTGTGTGTGTGTGATATTTTTGGTAAGAAAAAAATATCATATTTTCTTACCAAAAAATAACTAGAATTAATGGTATCATAATGTGTTTACCAAAAGATTTCTTACAATTTTTTTTTTTACTTTGGTTTTTCATAGTATAATCATGCATGTGTTTATTGCCAAACTACATAAATTACTTTCATAAGCATTCCTAACAAAAATTAGGCTTCAATAAATGAACAACTTGAAAATTGTGTATCGTAACTTACCAACACTTAAAAAAAAAACACTTACATCATAACTAATAATCCATTAAATCTCAAAGGGCATTTAGTGGAAAGATTATTGGTATTCACGAAATCATTAGCGCTCCGTTCCTACTTTTACTATTCTCACTTGTACTATTATACTGTAATTATTATTAATTTTCATATTAATAGTTGATTGAGAGTAATTAAAATATGATTAATCATATTAACTAGAGATTATATTTAAACTCATATTTGTTGGGATCCATTTACTCAATTCTATTGATGAAAAAAAATCGAGTTAATCAAATTGATTTTTTTCACTTTAAAACATCGGAACGGAGGACATAAATAATATAATTTTCAATCTAATCTTATTTTACTTTTATATTTAAATTTAAATTCTAAAATTTTAATATTTTTAAAATTTTATCACATTATATAAAGTTATATTTTTTTATATTTTACATTTTTTATTTTTTTATCCATTTTTTAATATTTTATCATTTTTTATCTCTTAAATCAATCTGTTTATTATATTGTTCTTTTTTTATATTTTTTTTATTTCTTTAATTAATTTAATTTTTTTATTTTTTAATGAATTTAAAATCACAAAGTTAATTTTTCTTTTTTATTTTTTCTAAATATTTTTATATCAATAAATAATATTATTTTATTTTTAATTTATCTTTTTAAGTTTTATTATATTATGTTTTTCAGATTTTATTATTTTTATTATTATATATAATTTTTTTTAATAAAATAATTATATTTTTAAAGAATTAAAAAAATAATAATTAAATTTTTTATCATTTGAACTAATTAAATATTTTATTATAAATTATATATTTTATATTTATAAATATTTTAAAAATGATAACTTAAAAAATATTTAATATATATATGTAATTAAATATTTAAATATAATAATAATAATAATAATATAAGTATTTTATATTTGTATAAAGAAAAATAAATTAAACATCTTTTAAGCACATATTTTAATATAAATACAATAAATTTAAATATATATTTATTTAATAATAAAAATTATAAATATTTTTATATATTAAAAATATTAAAATTAATTTATTATAAATATAATTATTTTTAAAAATAATATAAAACAGAAAAATCGGAGATCCAAGTCGGAAATCCAACTACACTAGAAACGAAAATTTAATTTTTAACTTCAACGAAATTAATGACGAAGTTGGAAGCAGGAACTACGAAAATCGCCACGTGTTGCCTTGCGTATTAACCCACTTTTTTTATAACTGCTTTTAGAACTATTAATATTTATACTTAAACACGAAAGAGTTAAACAAGTAAATTTTACTGTATTGAACGTAATTGAAAAATGTTTCTGATTAAGAGATGTACGAAATAAAATATAATTAATGATTGACTCTAATGAAAATGAGAATCAACTCATATTCGTAAAATTCTTTTTTATATTAACCCTGATAGAAAAATACCTAACAGTTTTATAAAAATTTAACTATTTAAAATAATAAATCATCTTAATAAATCTATTAAAAAATAAATAAATGACAAGAGTATATCAACATTTATATATAATAAATTTGCTCATTTATATTTAGATATATAAGAAAATTTCAATAAAAAACTACTTATTAAAATATTTAAATAAAACATTTTGAAATAACTTTTTTATCAAAAAAATTCTTAGTATCATGAAAAGTTAGTTAAAAAATTTGATAATTAATTTATTAGGTAAAAAAAATGTAAATAAAGAGGAAAAAATATTTATCTGAACAAATATGGATTGGTTAATGTGTCATAGTAATTAATGTTGCATGTATGTAATAATCATAATCTATTATTATATTATTAAAAGCATTGCAAATCAGACTTTCGGTTATATATATATATATATATATATATATATATATATATATATATATATATATATATATATAATATAAATTTAAAAGATTTTATTAATATTATATTAAAATGAGTAGTAGAATTGGTGTGAGGCTTGTGAACTTATAATTTTTCTTGTAAATATTTGTCTTGGACCTGGGAACTACCAACTTGAAGGCTAGCCTATAATGGCAGACTGTGCAAAGCCATGGTCTCGATGGTCAATCCAGGGCCAAAGGCAAACAAAACGCCCCATTTAAGTCCTTCACCAGTAGTGGCTTTCCCTTCCTTCACAGACTTCCTTCTCATCTCATCAAGTACAAACAACACACACGCACTCGACATGTTCCCATACTCACTTAGAACCTCTCTAGATGCTTGCAGCTTTTCAGGGTTCAACCTAACTTTCGCCTCTATCTGGTTCAAGATTGCAGGGCCACCAGGGTGCACCACCCAAAACAACGAGTTCCAGTCACTAATCCCGAGTGGCTGGAAGCTTTCTTCCAACATTTTCTCAATGCTGTTTCCGATCAACATAGGAACACTGTCCTTCAGATGGAAAGTGAGTCCTATCTCCCACAAGTGTCCCTCCATTGCACCCTCGGAGTTGGGTACAATTGTCTGAGATGCCGACACAATGTGAAACAAGGGTCGTTCGACGGAGGTTTCGGGGTTGGATCCAACGATGGCGGATGAAGCACCGTCACCAAAGAGTGCTAGTCCGACCAAGGAGTCCACGTGGGTTTCGGAGGGTCCACGAAATGCGACAACAGTGATCTCAGCACAGACAACTAGAACACGTGCTCCACGGTTGTTCTCTGCAAGGTCTTTGGCGAGACGAAGTGCGGTGGCACCGGCAAAGCAACCCTGGTGGTACAGCATGAACCTTTTGGTGGATGGTTTAAGGCCCAAGAGCTTGACAAGTTGGTAGTCAGCACCGGGCATGTCCATACCTGCGTAGCTGCAGAACACCAGATGACTGATATCTGACTTGCTTCTTCCCCATTCCTCGATGGCTTTTGACGCCGCCTTTGCACCAAGCTTCGGAATCTCCTTTACTAATACGTCTTGTCGTGCATCCAAGGATGCTTTTCTACTTCCTAAGTTGGGGTTCTCTTTCAACATTTCTTCAGTCAGGTGTATGTATCGTCTCTTCACCGTCGATTTTTTACCTATATATATATATATATATATATATATATATGCATGTCGATAGTGAATGTTGAGAATTTATAGATTAATCATATTAAGTTGTAGTTCCATCAAAACTATTCATTGTTATATAACTTTTATGTTGTCATAACATATTCATATTCTATTATTCTAATAATAATTTAATTTATTATATTAACAGTGTGAATATATAAATATATAAATACATAAATATATCAAAATATAAATATATCAAAATATAAATATATTTATATTTATTATATTTTATATTTATATATTTTATATTTTTATATTTACACGGATAAATATAAATATAATTTATTTGTAAGTTATTATCAAAATATTCTAATAGTTTAGTGGTTGGAGTATCGACTTCCAATTCCGAGATCCTGGGTTTGAATCCTACTAATTACAAATTTCCTAACATTACCTACATATTTTTGTAGTGACCATATATGGTTTTTTTGTGAGGTAAGTGGTTGGAGCAAGTTCCATCAATATGATTTATAACTTACTTTCATGTATTAATTACATGTAGTTTAAGGATGGAATTGGTTTTTTATGGGGTAAAAAAAACTTTGATTTTATTAGAAGGGGTAAAAAATTTTCAATTTTCCCAAAATAAGTTAAATAGTATTTGATGACATGATTGAGGTGACTTTTTTTTTAACGTGCTTGATAACACGAGTTTCTCACTAAAAAAGTGTATATGGTAACACGAGTTTTTCATTTTTATTTTTTGGAAAAATATGATTTGTTTATTTTTTAAAATATATTATTTATTAAATAATTATTTTTAATTGAATTATTAATTTAATACAAATATTTAGACAAACATGATTAAATTTAATACACTCTATTTATATTAAAATATTACATCCATATATATATATATATATATATATATATATATATATATATATTATCACAGAAAAAAATTAATGGTTAGACCTCGTCCCGTAAGATGATCTTCTTATTTATCATCTTGATCTACTTGGTTGGTTTTGAGTAAGCCTTTGTTGTGCTTGAATAACACGCCTATGACCCTTTTGATGATTGAGATTGAATGTTTGCTTGCTTATCATCATCATCTTTTTCATTTGCATACTACATATGAGACATACTAGACATAGTAGTTACAAAAGGTGTTTAATTGTATGTTAATGGTGGTGTCATAGAAGAGGTGGAAAACATTTTTGTTTCACATGGAAACGAAGTAAATGTATGAGGAACTTGTCCTCTAAATTGAAATTGCCTTGGTAAATTTTGGAGTTGACAAACTATCCAAAATATGGATAAGGTTGTTGAGGACTCGACTCACCAACATGTTGATGATTGGACTGATCACCATGTTGATGACTCGACTGACCAACATAGACATGACTAGGTTCGTCAATATACTAGGGTTGTTCTTACTGCTCTGTATCGTACTGTTAAAAAATAAAATAAATATTAGTTTGATATGAATGTTATATATATAAAATAAAATTATTGATATACTTATTTCTTCATCTGAATCTTCTTCTTGGGTAGATGAAATATATTTTGATAGTATGCTGAAAATATCATATCATATATGTTGTATTTTCACGCAAGTGATCATTCCCATTGAACTCATTTCCTTGAATTAGTCGACCGTGACGGTCATTCCACATAGTAATCTAAGTTTTATGGTATTGAGGTCAAAATCTATCAGTTCTACCTCTCATGTATTTTCTGTGAAATTTGTCAAGATTGATTGGGTCTTCTGGAATTGGTTGACGAAGTCCAAATTGCCTCATAACCTAATTTATAGGATGAGGCTCAACGAGTAGCAAAACATATCAATGAAACTATAACACGACTCACAAGAGAAACCTTAACATTTATTAGTCGTTGTAGCCCAGTTTATAGAACTTGTAAAATTAGAATTATTATTATTTAAGAAATATATATTGAAAGTTGTAATAAATGAAATACCTCATTTACTTTTAATTGATCAAATGTTAGACGTAATACATGTACAACATATGTAATCACATTGGACCTTTTGAAAGTGATGAAGATCTTATTAAATTACTTTGACAAAGATCTTATTGATTTGATGAAGTAAAAAATGAAGTCAAAGGCTACTTTGTGGCAGTCAAAGATCACTTAGATAAAAGAGTAGAGGGATTAGTGAGTTTGTATCTCTGCTTAGGTATAATCATTTTTATCTCTCTTCTGCATGAGGTTTCTTCATTTAAAAGATTTTGCAAATGCCTCTAAAAAATGTTTAAACGGTTAAAAACAAAGTATTTTGTTAAAAGGTTTTTAATTAGCTATTTTAACTAATAGCATATAAGCTTTATCAACTAAAATGTTCTTAACACTTTTGTAATAGATTTTTAACTGATATGTTTTCGAAATAATCGATTGTTTTCATTAGAAGGATTTTTGAAAACCTTCTGCCAGTATTTTAACTGAAATAGAATTGATATAATCGATTAAAATGACTTAGAATATTTTGAAAAGTGTTCGCGGAATTTTAATCGATACAAACTTGAAATAATCGATTGAAACAACTTAGAGTGTTTTGAAAGTTGTTCTGTCATTATTTTAATCGATACAAATGCGAAATAATCGATTAAAACAACTAAGAGGTTTTTCCAGAATGTTTTAATCGATTAAAACATGTTTGCTATCAGTTAAAATAACTTAGAAAGTTTTATGAAATCTTTTGGCAGAATTATAATCGATTAAAATGCGTTTCAATCGATTAAAATAACTAAGTGAACTTTTTTCAAAGTGTTTTAATCGATTAAAACAGATTGTTATCAGTTAAAATCACTTAGAAAAGTTTATAAGAATGTTTTGCAGTATTTTAATCGATTGAAAGACGAAACAATCGATTAAAACAGTTTGGAAGATTTTTTACAAAGAGTTTTAATTGATATAAACAGTGTCATATCAGTTAAAACAAATCTGGAAAATAATCAAGAACTTTTTAACAGATTAAAACAAGACTTTTAACAGATTAAAAGATTATTTTAACAGATTAAATAAACCAACAGTTTTGAAAATCTTCTATATAAACAGAGTTGCTTGAACTTTGTAAAATATATCTTTTAGCAATCAATCAAGCAATCATAAGCGCTACTTTCAAGAGAGAATCGCGCTAGTTTTGTGAAGTTCATTGAAGTTCTTTCTTGAGGCAAAATTGCATTCTTTTGGAGAAGAAACACATACTGCAGAACTGCATAAATCTGGTTTGAGCGTTCTAAGTTTCTTCTATTTGTTTCTTTACTGTATTGTGGGTGCCTGAAATTTTGGGCACTGGTTTCTGTAGCTGGAATTTGGCTGCAGGGTTGGTCAAGAACTGGAATTTGGTTCTTGGTGAAGGTTTAGGTGCAGGAACTGGAATTTTGGTTCTTGTGGTAGATTGAGTGTGAGATTAAAGTTATAATCTGTAAAACGTTCAATTTAGTGGAACCCAGCTGGAATTTGGCTAGAAACTGGACGTAGCCCTGGGATTGGGTGAACCAGTATAAATCTTGGTTGTATCTTTCTAAACCTTTCTCTCCTTTAATTCTGTGACTGCATTTATTTTGATTGCTTGTTGTGTGTGATTCAAGAACTGGTCAGATTTCTTAATCTTTGAAATAGATAATCTGTAAATTGCGAAAATCTTTCAAAGATCAATTCACCCCCCTCTTGATCTCAGCCTACATTTCTAACACCTTTGACCTGGTCATGACTGCCTATTGCATACAAAAAATATACTATTATAAAATGAAGTAATATGAAAGAAAGAAATGGAATAAAACAATATAAAATAAATTTGAATACCTTTTAGCCAATGAGAAACCATACCCTGTAGCAATCTCCTTATTGATTAAATGTTCTACCTTAGATAGATGCATGTCATATGGTCTCATGTCCAAGCTTGGAGCAATAACATGATCCTCCAATGTTCTCCTGATGGTAGTCAACGCCAAGATCGAACGCTTTATACAAACATGTCAAAATAGCTAATCTCCAACTTTAGTTTGAAAGTAGAGTTAGGTCTTGCAATAATAGGAGATACATTAAGTGCACTCTAGATGTTGTATATGACAATAATAAACTCCTTATTATTGTCAGTATGTGTGCCCTAGCATGTTGTGCAACACGTTATCATCTACATCATCTGAAAGGTGTTGAAATTGAGACCTGTAACTGATAGTCCATGAATGGGTAGACCTAATTGAAAGGTCACGTCTTCTAATGTAACTGTGACTTCTCCGATGAAAAAAATGAAAGGTGTGGGTTTCAGATCTCCACCTTTCAACTAACGTTGTGATCAAATGACGATTTATATCAACAGTTCCAATTGTCATTAATTATCCAAATACAACTTGATCAATCAAATTTTTAACACGACGTCCAACACGTGTACATGTTTTGTTATCACATGTTGAAACAATCTTTATTTTAGCACGCATTTATTGTATGTTATAGATAGGGAATCATTAATGCTAAAATATTAGCTGAGGTATTGATAAATAGTTTTAGATGTGAACAATAGCATTCAAAAGGCCTATATAAGTGGTTTCATGTTTTTATTAAATCACACGATTACACTTTACCATTTCTAATACAATAATTGAGTAAAGGTGGATTTAAGTATATTTTATTTAAAAATTTTAATAAGTTATTTTTTTATTAAATTTTATAAATTATTTACATTTTTATTTAAGTATTTTATTTAAATTTTTTAATTACTTTTTATTAAATTTTATAAATTATTTACATTTTTTATTTAAGTATATTTTATTTAAATTTTTTAATCGGTTACTCTTTATTAAATTTTATAAATTATTTACATTTTTTATTTAAGTATATTTTATTTAAATTTTCAATCAGTTACTTATAAATTATTTAATTTTTTTATTTAAGTATATTTTATTTAAAATTTTTAATCAGCTACCTTTTATTAAATTTAATAAATTATT